TATATATATATATATATATATATGTTTGTTTTTTTAATCCTCAGAGAGGAAGGGAGAGGGAGAAAGAGAGAATCATCAATGATGAGAATCATGGATCGGCTGCCTCCTGCACTCCCCTTGCTGGGAATCGAGCCTGCAACCTGGGCATGTGCTCTTGACCAGAATCGAACCCAGGACCCGTCAGCCTGCAGGCTGACACTCTAGCCACTGAACCGAACCGGCTAGGGCTGTTATTTATTAATAATTGTATGATTCCCACCAAACAACAAAAACCTACTTTGCCGCACCCTGCATGTTTAAGAGGAGGGTGGTAATAAGCCAGAGGTTTGGTAAAGGTTAGCAAATATAAAGACACGTTTTGCAGAAGATTCAAATGTTTTCATAAGGAGAGAACATCAGAAACTTGTGGCTCTGGATCCCTTTTCCTTTGTCACTGAAGCAGAGCTTTCATTTAATTTAGGAGGAAATGCACATTCAGAGGAACAGCCTTATAAATCCTCAAGGTTTTTCCTACAGTCAGCATGTGCTGAAGGGATTGAAAATTGATTCTCTCTAGACCTCGTGAGGATGAAGCCAGTGATTGTGCTAAAGTATTTAGGCCTTGGGGATGAGTCACTGCTGCTGCTGGATTCTGATTAAATCTAGTTCAGTGGCTTTCTGATTATGAAATAAATATTAATCTCAAGCACACAACCAGAAAAACCTTATCATCAAATCATAAATGGGATAATCTTATATATTCACTAGAGGCCCGGTTCATGCATTCATACATGGATGGGGTCCTGCCGGCCCTCACCGATCGGGGCCCATCAGGGAGGGAGGGAGGACCCGGGGGAGGGGGACACCTAAGGTTGGTGGGCTAGCCCTGCCCCCAACTGGCCCCACCCCCTGGTCAAACTTCCAGTCGAGGGGACAATTTGCATATTAGCCTTTTATTATATAAGATATTGCATTTTGTATAAAATCAGTTTCACTATTACCATTTGAAAAGCACAGGTCTGGCACTGGCCGGTTAGCTGAGTTGGTTAGAGCGTCGTCCCAATATGCCAGGGTTGTGGGTTCGATCCCTGGGCAGGACACACAAGAAGCAGCCAGGTTCGATTCTGGCCAAGGGCACATGCCCGGATTGCAGACTTGATTCCCAGTAGGGGGAGTGCAGGAGGCAGTCGATCCATGATTCTCTCTCATCGTTGATATTTCTCTCTCTCCCTCCCTCTTCCTTCCTCTCTGAAATCAATTTAAAAAATTTTTTTTAAATGCTGTATTTTCTGGATACTGTTTATGCCAGGAACTAAATCTTGCCCTCTATGTGTGAAACTATTGCAACTAGCTCGTTGTGCTTTGTTTATTTCTTATTTTATTGACAATGACATTGAAACGGCAAAAGTGACCATCAGTTCCCTAATCAGAATAATTGCCATTGTCTGCTCTTAATTGGCACATCGGTGTGTTTTCTTCCTCCCATCTACTTTTTATTTTTAAATATTTGCTTAGCATTCCTGTCGGAAGCCCGTGTGCATCAACGTTTTTGGGTTTTATATTTTCAGATTGTTGCTTTTGGCAGAAAGACGAAGCTATCTGCACATCTTTCACCTTAAAAAGAGATGAAGTGCAGTAGGGTGTTTAGCAGATGGCCTGAAAGCCTTTGCATGTTCTTCCTGCTGCTGCAAGTTCAATGTTGAGGCGTTCTCAGGCTTGAACTTGACTCAGCCTGTTTTGCCTTTCGTCTGTCCCCGGACGTCCAGGGCAGAGGTCCCTCTTAGGGGCATTCTGGGGCATTGCCGCAACCCTGCATGCGAACAGACTCTGGAGATGGAGATGGAGATGGAGATGACATGACCTATTTCCTCCCTCCTCCTGTCTGTCTGCTGTTTTCTCTCCCACAGGCTCGTCCAGACCGAGCTAGCACTTGGGAGAGCAGGAGGGATGAGTTCAAGGCTGAACTCAAAGCCAAAAGTTCAAAGGCAAAACGCTTACCACGGGGTCTCACGGTGACATTCATGAGTCTAGGGTTTTTAAAACCACGGAGGGTTTGGGGCAGATGATCTGATCTGAATTGTGCCTAGGGTCTGAAGACTCCATTTTTGGGGGCCAGGGTCAGGGGCAGGGAGGTGGATGCAAAGGGGCCAGTTAGGAGGCTTTTGGAGAAATTGAGGCGTTAGCCAAAACCGGATTGGCTCAGTGGATAGAGCGTCGGCCTGCAGACTGAAGGGTTCCGGGTTCAATTCCGGTCAAGGGCATGTACCTTAGTTGCGGGCATATCTCCAGTAGCGGGTGTGCAGGAGGCAGCTGATCGATGTTTCTCTCTCATCGATGTTTCTAACTCTCTATCCCTCTCTCTTCCTCTCTGTAAAAAAGTCAATAAAAATATATTTTTTAAAAAAGAAGAAGAAGTTGAGGTATTAGGTGAGAGTGGAGTAGACCAGAAGGGAGCATAGTGGGTGCAGGAAGAACTGGGTACGTAGGTATTTGGGGGTGTAATTGAAGGATTTAGTGATAGATGACATAGGTCTTTATGGGAAATAAATGAATAAGAACGTACATATTTTATCCTAGCTGTTGTGGCTCAGTGGATAGAGCATCAATCAGCCTGTGGACTGACGGGTCAAGGGCACATGTTTGGGTAGGAGGCATGCAGGAGGCAGCCCATCAATAATTCTCTCTCATCATTGATGTTTCTCTCTCCCTTCTTTTCTGAAATGAACCAATATACTATAATATAAGGCTAATGTGCAAATTTTCCCCTCAACCAGGAGGCAGGGTGGTCAACCACTCGCAGCCCCAACCCCATCAGCCCTCCCACCCTGATTGGGGGCGGGGCCGGCCGGACCCCCTACCCCAGGCACAAATCCGTGCACTGAGCCTCTAGTAAATATATATATATATATATATATATATATATATATATATATATATATCTCATAGATTTCTCATGGGAGCATCTGCTCGGGCAGTGATGCCAATTACTAAGATCAGGGATACTAAATGGCAGGCAGGCTAGGCCATAAGACTGAGAGTTTGTTTTTAGAACTCTTATGTTTGAAATGCCTACAGACACGCAGCCAGTGAGACTGAAGCTCAGACTGGGGGTCCGGAGTTTGGGGGTAGAAAAATGAGACACACGGATGCCATACGAAACCTTGAAATTGGATGAAATCACAATTGAGACATCACAAGTGGAGCTACCATGTTTGCCCAACAATAAGACAGTGTCTTATATTACTTTTTTTCTCCCAAAGTTGCGCTAGGTCTTATTTTCAGAGGATGTCTTGTTTTCAGGAAATGCGGTATGTGAGAAAGGAAAAAAAAAATATCAGGAGAGTACAGTGTCCTGGAACTCGAGAAGAAAATGTCTCAATGGACATATTCTATAACGGGGAAAGACATTTGCTATGGAAATTGTAGATATCAGGGGAATATATTACAAATGAATAGTAAAAAGTTAGAGCGCTGTCCAGAAATGCAAAAATGATAGGAATAGTCAGTTGCCTGTAGGGCCAATCCTAACGGCCAATAAACCTCTGAAAAGATGTTTAATCTCACCATTAATCAGGGAAATGCAAATAAATCTAAAAGAGCATTACCACCTCATGCTGTCAGAGATTGGAAGGGGGTCATTTTCATACGTTGGTGGAAATGTAAATTTTTACAGCCTTTTTTGAAAGCAGTCTGGCAACGTCTATTAAAATGAAAAATACCTCTACTCTGGGATCCACCAATCTCACTCCTGCAGATCTATCTTGTGGAAATAGAAGCACAAAAACCTAAATCTAATAGAAAAATCTAATAGAAGCATAAAAATCTGAATATGGTTATGGCAGCCCCCTTTTAAGGGCAAAAACACTAACAATAAGATAAACACGCACCCCCTCGAGAAAAGTTAAATAAATTATAGGTAATCTAATCACTGGATTATTGTGCAGCCATTAAAAATAAATGAGTTAGCCCGACCGGCGTGACTCAGTGGTTGAGCGTTGACCTCTGAACTAAGAGGTCCCAGTTTGAACTGAACCTGGGACCCTTTGAGTCCACAGGCTGACGATCCATCCACTGAGCCAAACCGGTTAGGGCCAATGCTCTTTTTTATTTTTTAATATATTTTTATTGATTTCAGAGAGCAAGAGAGAGGGAGAGAAAGTTTGAGAAAGGTTCGATTCCGGTCAAGAGCATGTACCTTGGTTGCAGGCACTTCCCCAGTGTGGGGTGTGCAGGAGTCAGCTGGTCGATGTTTCTCGCTCATCAATGTTTCTAGCTCTCTCTCTCTCTCTCCCTTTCTCTCTTTAAAGAAATCAATAAAATATATTTTTTTTAAAAAGTTGTGGATCTGGAGAAAGGCTGAAATATTTTTAGTTTTTGCAATACCTCCACCAGTTTCAGATGCACAGCTAGGAATGCTGTACTCAGTGAGCGGCTGTGGAAGAAGCAAGGAAGTGGCGTAATCACAGTTAATTTTTCATCATTCTGTTTTGCAATGCTCGCATTTCTCTCTGTGTGTATGTGCATGTGTGTGTGAATTCCCTATTATCCCCCAAAAGTGCATCCTTTGGGGTTTTGTTGTTGTTTTAATTACCTCACTAGGATAAGGTGACCAGACGTCCCGCTTTTGGCGGGTCAGTCCTTTCCAAAAATTGGGACTGTCCCGCCAAAAGCGGGATGTCTGGTCATCCCCAGGAGTAATTCTCCTGAATGGAAGGAAGTGGGCAGTTGTGGTTCCTGATGATGATGTATGCCCACGATGGTTATAACCAGTTTACAGTGTTACACTCTTATCTATGCGTTGGGCCGTATATAGCCTTTAGAATAGCTTTATTTTAAAAATAATTTTTTAAAAATTTATAAAGAAAAAATAGAATAATTTTGTAAGGTTCAAGGAAAGATAAACTATCGGGATTTTGGTTCATGATATTTTGAAATGATTAAATTCTCAGTGTTGGCATCCTGTCTGTAGTATTTTACGCGATTGAAGTGCGTAGTTAATAACTTACCTTTGTCTCTGACAGATCGATGAACTCCCAGAGGGAGCGGTGAAACCTCCAGCCAACAAGTACCCCATCTTCTTCTTCGGCACCCATGAAACGTAAGTCAGCACAGCAGCCTCACGTTTCAAAGCTCCCATTCGAGCCGAAACCGATGTGGCTCAGTGGATAGAGCATCAGCCTGCGGACTGAAGGGTCCCAGGTTCGATTCCGGTCAAGGACCTGTACGTTGGTTGCAGGCACATCCCCAGTGGAGGGTGTGCAAGAGGCAGCTGATCGATGATTCTCTCTCATCGATGTTTCTAACTTTCTATCCCTCTCTTTTCCTCTCTGTAAAAAATCAATAAAATATATTTAAAAACAAAAAACTCCCATTCAACTCCGCTAGACTGTATTGTTCATAGATGATCAGGGCACTTATATACTTTTTTTTTAAAATTTATGTATTGATTTGAAAGAGAGGGGAAGGGAGAAATATCCATTTGTTGTTCACTTACGTTATACATTCGTTGGCTATTCTTGTATGTGTCCTGACCACGGATCAAACCCACAACCTTGGTGTATCAAGACGACGCTCTAACCAGCTGAGCTATTTTTAATAGTTTACGAAAGTATACTCTGACTCCTTAGTAGATACTGATATTAAAAATACCTTACATTTGGCCCTGCTGATGTAGCTCAGTGGTTGAGCATCAACCTATGAACTGGGAGGTCAAGGTTCAATTCCTGGTCAGGGCACATGCTTGGGTTGTGGGCTTGATCCCTGTTGTGGGGTGTATGGGAGGCAGCCGATCAAAGATTCTCTGTTATCATTGATGTTCCTCCCTCCTTCCTTCCCTCCCTTCCTCTCTGACACCCATAAATATATATATATATATATATATATATATATATATATATATATATATATCTTTTTTTTAAATATCTTATATTCGAAGGTCAGAGTATCAATTCCGTTTCTCATGTGTGTGTCTGCAGTGCGTTTCTTGGCCCCAAAGACCTTTTCCCATACAAAGAATACAAAGACAAGTTTGGAAAGTCCAACAAACGGAAAGGATTTAATGAAGGATTGTGGGAAATCGAGAATAACCCCGGAGTCAAGTTCACTGGATACCAGGTACGGGTGTGCTTCGTTATCGTTTCTGTGGTTTTCGCTCTCTCTTGGATCTTTACTAAATGGCCTTTGAGCTAAAAGGTACCCTCCCTTCGTTTGAATCCAGAATTCTCTTGGTTTTGGTAGCATTTGGGGTTCCAAATAATTCTGTCACCCAAGAGAGTTCAAGTCAGGGAAATCGAGGCTGGCAGCCTTTATTTTGAAAATCTTTTAAGAGTTAAGGTGACCAAAAGCGGGACGTCTGGTCACCTTATTTAAAAGCAAAGCTGACCGCTTTCAGATTGAAATAGAGCCACTGTCCTGCCGTCTGCGTCTTTCAGAAGTATAACTGGCTACCGTTTTATTGGTCAGGCCATTCAGCAACAGAGCTCGTCAGAAACGGAGGGCGAAGGCGGCAACACGGCGGACGCCAGCAGCGAGGAGGAAGGGGACAGAGCGGAAGAGGACGGGAAAGGCAGGAGGAAGAGCGAAAAGGCCGGCTCGAAGCGGAAAAAGGCCTACACCTCCAAGGTTACTGAGGCTGTCCCGCTGTTACTCCCCTTCTGTGCATGGTCCCTGAGAGTTTGAGGTTCTTTTTTCTTCTTTTTTAATACATATTTTTTATTGATTTTTCACAGGAAGGAAGAGAGAGGGATCGAGTTAGAAACATCGATGAGAGAGAAACATCCATCAGCTGCCTCCTGCACACCCCCTTGACAGGAATCGAACCTGGGACCTTTCAGTCCGCAGGCCGACGCTCTATCCACTGAGCCACACCGGTTTCGGCTAGAGATCCTTTTTCCTTCCTCCTCTGGGCACACAGACGTGCGCTCGCTCTGTGGGCCTCTGCCTTAGAGACAGTGGAGCCGGAGGGAATCCGACAGGGGCAGCTGGCTGTTGACTCGGGGGGCTGGTTGGACCGAAAATACCACCTTCTCAGCAAGAGGAAGACTGTTGTTCAGTCACAGGCATAGGATAGGTGTGTGTCCTACAGTCGCCTCCAGACAAGACCTGGACAGTTCAGGGACATAGAAGGATCTGAACAATGCAGGGCCATCTCAGTGTGCTATAGATATGATATTCTTTTTTTTTCTCTCTCTCTTTCTTTTTTAAATATATTTTATTGATTTTTCCACAGAGAGGAAGGGCGAGGGATAGAGAGCCAAAAATGTCGATGAGAGAGAAACATCAACCAGCTGCCTCCTGCACACCTCCCACTGGGGATGTGCCCGCAACCAAGGTACATGCCCTTGACCGGAATCAAACCTGGGACCTTTCTGTCCACAGGCTGACGCTCCATCCACTGAGCCAAACCGGTCTTGGCTATTCTTGTTTTTTGGTGTGTTTTTTTTTAATACATGGATCAGCTCAGTAGATAGAGCATTGGCCCTCGGAATGGAGGGTCCCGAAACCAGCTTCGGCAAAAATAGATATTTTTTTTTAAAGGGGGAAAGAAAAACCATGAGATTGTGAAAACTGTTCACCTTTTAGAAACTGAAAGCAAGATAAACAGACCTTGGAAAAACAAAGATTGGTCCAGGTTTGACTGGAATCGGTCTGTCACATGACTGAATATCTGGATAAATTACTCCCTTAAGATTCTGGTGGCTAGTGACCGGAAATACTTAAGAAACGCCTTAAAATCAAGTGCCAAGCGTTTATCAGACTACAAACATTTCCTTTTATGGCCTATAAGATCCACCCAACTTGCATACAGGTAAAATTCTATGAATGCATATTATTTCCCATGCACCTAATGAAAACCATGATGTTTGCCTTGATGGGGATAAAGTTTGTAAATAACAAAATAATCGGAATTTTCCCCATCCTGCAGAGTGCCTTCTGGCTCTGTAGTCTTCCCCAGGCAGTGTCCGCCCCGCTGTGCTTTTTCATTGACAGCGTTCTGTGTGGGTGAAAATTTGTTTTCTGCTTTTATCATCTCATTGCTGGGCAGGACTAAAAGGAAAAGGGAATCTAGTCCATTTGTACTTTTTTTTTTCTTCTTTCTTTTAAAAAAAATATATTTTATTAATTTTTTACAGAGAGGAAGAGAGAGGGACAGAGAGTTAGAAACATCGATGAGAAAGAATCATCGATCAGCTGCCTCTTGCACACTCCCCTCTGGGGAAGTGCCCGCAGCCAAGGTACACGCCCTTGACCGGAATCGAACCTGGGACCTCTCAGTCCATAGGTCGTCGCTCTACCCACTGAGCCAAACTGATTTCGACTGTACTTTTTTTTTTTTTTTTTTTTTTTTTTTTTTTTTTTTAATATTTCTGTATTGATTTCAGAAAGGAAAGGAGAGGGAGAGATAGAAACATCCATGATGAGAGAGAATCATTGATCGGCCGTCTCCTGCACACACCCTCCTGGGAATCGAGCCCATAACCCAGGCATGTGCCTTGATTGGAGTGGAACTGTGAAATCTCTTGAGTTTATAGATTGATGCTTTCCACTGAGCCACCCAGTGGGGCTGCCTCTCCTTTTGCAGCTGGTTCATCTGAGGCCCAGCGAGGGGAAGTGACTGGCCCACGGTCACCTCGCCCGGCCCTGGCACCCTGTGTGCTGTGGGCTTACACCCTGCATCAAGCCGGAAAGAGCAGGTGCAGGCCGGCTCCTCCCGCACCTCTGACCCCTTGTGCGTTTGGGTTTTATGTGGCTGTAACTTTTAACTTCTCTAAACACTTAGAAATCTTCCAAACAGTCCCGGAAGTCCCCGGGGGACGACGACGACGATGACAAGGACTGCAAAGAAGAGGAGAACAAAAGCAGCTCGGAGGGCAGAGACTCCGGCAACGACACGAGAAACACGGCCTCAGACTTGCAGAAAACCAGCGAAGGGGTAAGGAGGCGCGCCCGCGCGGTTTCTCTCAGCCCGTTTTCCCGTGTTTACTTGGCTGCTGAGTGAGGATCCATATCTCAGCCTTAGACGTTGTCTTAGTCAATGGAGAAGTACTCTCAGCCCGGTCGGTCGGTCGGTCGGTCGGTCGGCCGGCTGGTCGGTCGGTCTGTCGGTCGGTCGGCCTGCCGGTCGGTAGAATCCGCCACTGACAGCTCCTGGTTAAGAGCAGCTGCTTAGACTCTGTGAACAGGCCAGCCAGCTGGGAGCTGCACCTGCCTGTCAGCTCGGAACTCTGCGAACAGTTTATTCTTTTTTTAAACCAACTCCCGAAACTGGAGAGCCTTTTGAAGTCAGGCGTGAAATGCGGGAATTATGAAGGCCGCCTCCACATCTGACAGTTGCATTCCTTTAATTATAAAATGAAATAGGCCGCCGGGACCGGTTTGGCTCAATGGATAGAGCGTCGGCTTGGGGACTGAAGGGCCCCGGGTTCGATTCCGGTCAAGGGCATGTACCTTGGTTGCGGGCATATCCCCAGTAGGGGGTGTGCAAGAGGCAGCTGATCGATGACTCTCTCTCATCGATGTTTCTAACTCTGTATCTCTCTCCCTTCCTCTCTGTACAAAATCAATAAAATATATTTAAAAAAATAAAATAAAAAATAAAAAATAAAATGAAATAGGCCGAGACCGGTTTGGCTCAATGGAAAGAGCATGGCTTGGGGACTGAAGGGACCCGGGTTCGATTCTGCTCAAGGACATGTACCTTGGTTGCGGGCATATCCCCAGTAGGGGGTGTGCAAGAGGCAGCTGATCGATGACTCTCTCTCATCGATGTTTCTAACTCTCTATCTCTCTCACTTCCTCTCTGTACAAAATCAATAAAATATATTTTTTTAAAAAATAAATAAATAAAAAAAATAAAATAAAATAAAATAAAATAAAATAAAATAAAATAGCTTAGGAATTCATACCGCTGCTTCTGTCCTAGAAGTGGTGATCCTTAAATGTGCCGGGGGGGGGGGGGGGGTAGGGGAGGACCTTTAAATATTTAAATATTCAAATTTAAGCAGTATGTGGATGCTGATTTTTAAAGGACCCAACAGGAATACTTGTCCACTTTGAGTCTTGTTTACTTCTGTTCACTTCAAAGTCACGGGCAAGAACACCTTTGCCAAAGCGTTAGTGAAGGCAGAGCGTGCGCCTGGCCATTTGCCGTGCGTCTGCTCTCTGTGAAGACTGAACAGTGGCAAATCATTTAAAAACATCCACCCCTGCCGAAACCGGTTTGGCTCAGTGGATAGAGCATCGGCCTGCAGACTGAAGGGTCCCGGATTCGATTCTGGTCAAGGGCATGTACCTTAGTTGCGGGCTCATCACCAGTAGGGGATGTGCAGGAGGCAGCTGGTCAATGTGTTTCTCTCTCATCGATGTTTTAAGCTCTCTATCCCTCTTCGTTCCTTTCTGTAAAAATCAATAAAATATATTGGGGGGGGGGGGGGACATCCACCCCTGAAATATCTGACTGTTACTCTTCTGTAGAATTCTGGTGCCAGCTGAGCTCTTGCCTATTCTTGTTGGTACTGTTTACCTCAGTGAGTCCCTCCTCCATGCAGTTTCCATAATTACTCCCGTCCCGATTCCTCCCGTCCACCTCAGCTCTGCTCCGCCCCTGCCCGTCTTTATTCTCTCCTCCTCTGCTGTTCCCTCTGCCTGCAGCCTCAGGGAATGAATGTACCTGGCACATTCCATTTCCGCGTGTCCCACCTGCTACAACCCCCCCCCCCCCAAAAAAAAAAAAAGCATGTTGTTACAGTCATGGTCATATTCTGCTGAACCTTCACTTGGTTTGGGCAGTAATAATTTTGTGGGGCGTCGGTGAGACCGTGTGTTCTAAAATATTCTTCAGCCGAGACCAGTTTGACTCAGTGGATAGAGCATCGGCCTGTGGACTGAAGGGTTTCAGGTCCGATTCGGGTCAAGGGCATGTACCTTGGTTGCGGGCATATCCCCAGTGGGGGGTGTGCAAGAGGCTGCTGTGGATGATTTTCTCTCATCGATATTTCTAGCTTTCTGTCCCTCTCCCTTCCTCTCTGTAACAAATCAATAAAATATATTAGAAAAAAAGAAGTCATCAGGCATTGTATTTTGCAAGTTCACAGATTTTATTTGACTTGATTTTTTTTTAATCCTCACCTGAGGATATTTTTCTGTTGATTTTAGGGAGAGTGGGAGGGAGAGGGAGAGACAGAGAGAAACATCGATGTGAGAGAAACACATCGATTAGTTGCCTCCTGCACACGACCTGACCAGGGCCCAGGCCAGGGAGGAGCCTGCAACCAAGGTACATGCCCTTGACTGGAATTGAACCCGGGACCCTTGACTGGAATTGAAACCGGTGAGGGCGGGTCACATGTTTTATTTATTTTATTTTTAACAATATACCTCTGTTGATTTCAGAAAGAGGAAAGGAGAGGGAGAGAAAGATAGAAACACCAAGTGATGATAGAATCATTGACTGGCTGCCTCCTGCACACCCCACTGGGGATGGAGCCCGCAACCTGGGCCTGTGCCCTGACCGGGAATTGACCCGTGACCTCCTAGTTCATAGGTCGATGCTCAACCACTGAGCCACACCAGCTTCTGTCGCCGACGTCCTCCGTCTCCTAAAGGCCCGTCTCCTCTCCTCTCTTCCAGACCTAACCTCCGTGGTGAGCGCTGCGTCTTTACAGAAACCCCCGGAAGCTTGAGCGCCTGGTTGTCTCACGTTCTCCGATTTGCTACGAACCCACGCGGTCCTCGTCGTCATTGACTGAACCCCGTTCGTATGTCCTTGATTCACATTCCTCTCTGTTCGTGTTTAGAGAAAGGGAAGAAAGAAAAAAAAAGAGAGAGACATTTTAGCCTTTTTTAAAGTTATTGATATCATTTCTTTATTACTTGGTTGCATGAAGTCGCCCTTAACCACTGAGGATGATCGAGATTTTTGCACAAACGTATACGTGTTCTAGGATCCTTCTACCGAGGCAGCGAGAATCCGAAGCCTCCTGCCTTGCTCCGCCTCCTCCACACACTCGGTTCAATATCAATGTGTATTTTTTCTTTTCTTTTTTTTCTTTTTTGTAAACGACCACTCAACACGATACGTGTCTCCTCTGGGTGCCAGGCCCCGAGAAACATTTTCTAGATGCGTAACGCTGGCGTCGGATGACGCAATGCAAAGGGTTCTTCTTCACCCTTGAGGCGGGTGTCAAGTGTAGCCGCATTGTAAGATATGGATTCCGTGTTAGAAATAGCCCGTTGACAGCTCCTCCACGCTCATTGCTGGTAGGTACACGCGCCCGGTCTCTGTACGTGATGAGGTCAGTGCGTTTTTGTGTGTGTGTGTGTGAACGCCAACCTATAGGCTACACGTTCCTTCCCCCGCTGCCCAAGACCATTCCGGCGAGCCACGCGAGGTGGGAACTTGACCTCTGAGAGCTGCACATCAGAGCATCTGACTTTTAAACACACACATTTTTAAAGAGCTTTTCTTTCGGGGCTAGAATTAGAATAGCCGCCCTCCATGCACACGCCGCCACCGTTCTGCGTGTACATTCTCGTTGCCGTTGTGACCATAGAGAGTTGTATTTATTTTTTATGCCGGCCTATCTCGTGGGGACACGTCTAGTCCGTTTGGGTTGCCTCAATCCCGTTATGCTCGTCTTTGGAACATATTTCACGTACTCGAGGTTTGTAGTTGAAACGTTTACTGTAAAAAAAGGAGAAGAGGGGGGAAAAAAAAAAAAAAAGTGGGGGAAAAAAATGTATTGTTTTTACAGAATAAATCTATCGGAATGTGTCCTGGGAGTAAAGGTTTGAGGTTGTAAACCACTCAGTTGGTGTAACTTGGCTTCATACATGTAACGTGAGGTATTGATGTCATTCACATATTAAAGCGAAGTCTGTTGACAGCAAGTTGGCAATAGAACCAGTGCAGGTGAGGGTTTTATTTCCATTCTCTCTCCGGGCTGCGAGGGGCTTTGGTGAACACTGAGGGAGGGGAAGGGATGGCCTTCGGTTGCTTATCCATCTACGATGCTTACCAGCTCCCTGACCCTAAGCTCAGGCACTGGACGTGATCCGGGTTTTTCTCTGGACCCTGTTCTCTTCTGCTTTTCTGTTTTGGCGAAGAGCTAATCAATGACAGGAAGATAAAATGTGAGAAGCTGGAAAGTCCCAGAGCCGTTCGTGATGAGAACGGTGGCCGTGAATATTGGCAGCCAAGGCTCAGAAAGCTCTGGGGAGGCAGCTGGCTGTGGGTTCTCTCATTCAGCAAATCCTTTTCTTTCGTATACTGTTCTCACTCACACTTCCAAATGTGAAAGTTCATTAATAGACACTAGGAAATGCCCTGGCCGGTGTGGCTCAGTGGATAGAGTGTCAGCCTGCAGACGGGAGGGTCCCAGGTTCGATTCCCATTAAGGGCATGTCCCTCAGTTGCAGGCTCTTCCCCAGCCCTCGTCAGGGCATGCAGGAAGCAACCAATCAATGTATCTCTCTCACTTTGATATTTTTCTCTTTAAAAGTCAATGAGAAAATGTCCTTTGGTGAGGATTTTAAAAAAAAGATAGTAGAAATGACAATCCAGTTCTTTAAAGGTCTTTGTAACTTTGAGTGTTTTAATTTAAAATTAATGAAGTTTGATTCACCACCCGATTCATCATATTTAGTGGTTTGCTGATACTAAAACATAAGGAGAATGTAGGTGGCGTTTTGAATTGGAACTTATAAATGACAGGTTTTTAAAATAAACTACAAAACCGTGTGAGAAAAAATGTTTCCCATTAAATGAGATTTGTCGTCATAAAAGGTCAAAAATAATTTTATTAAAAATATACACAGAAATACAATAGAAATCTCTCCTTTCACCAGTAAGACAAGTATTCCATTAAGGATAATGATAAGGTTATCGATTCCTCCTTAGCTGTTTAAACTCACAGAAACATTTTAGAGAGAGCAGTTTTTAAAACAGCATATACTTTAAAATATACTTCACCCTGGGAAGACATTTTTCAAATAACATTGTAAAATACTCTGATCATTTGCCCTTTATATTGATGTTGCTAATGAAGCACAGACGTCTTATATGCAAAAAATATTTTCCAATCTCAATTGGCTATTCTGAATTTTTAATATGCATACCTATTCTGAATAGTTCTCTTTCCATGCTCACCGTTGTAGGAGCTGAACAGTCATGTTTCACACGTATGTAGTATGTGCAAACAGAGAACATTGAGACGGTCAAGTTTATTCCAAAAAAAAAAAAAATTTGAATGTATCTCTTTAAACTGTTTCTCTCAATAACTTCAGCTTTCCTTCAAAAAATAAAAACAAGTTGACCCCCGCAGCCTCATAGATAGCTCACATACTCGGTGCAGAACGGAAGGGAGTGGAATGAGAGGAAAGCCCGGAACCAGGGTCTCCAGATCCCGCAAGAGGAGCCGCGGGAAGCCGTGCCTCCTCACTCGGCTTTCTCCTCCGCCCTCGCCCTCAGGAAAAACTCGGGCGCGTAGACGCAGCGGTAGGCCAGCAGCTGGGGCAGCGCCCCGTAGGCCATGTTCAATGCCAGGAAGAGGATCTTCGCTTCCTCGGGCACTCTGTAGGTGTAAGCCGTCCTGGCATGGAGAGAAGCACCGATGTGGGAGAACTGGGCCTGTCGCGGCGGAGAAAAGGGGGAAAAAAGCGTGAATTTTGTGATCAGCTTTGAGAGTCCTGACTCATGCATTCTGACCTTGTCTCTACGCCCTCAAAGACAAGAGTGCTTTTGGACAATCCGTAGTCTTGACTATGTTACTGAATGCAGGGCCAGTCTGGACAGAACTGTTCAAATAAAGTATATCTTTTTTTTTAATATATATTTTATTTTACAGAGAGGAAGGAAGAGGGATAGAGTCTAGAAACATCGATGAGAGAGTGACGTCGATCAGCCACCTCCTGCACACCTCCTACTGGGGATGTGCCCTCAACCAAAGTACATGCCCTTGACCGGAATCAAACCCGGGACCCTTCAGTCCGCAGGCCGACGCTCTATCCACTGAGCCAAACCGGTTTCAGCTACGTATACCTTCTTTAGCGTGGCTTTATCATACCAGCTGTGTTATGACCCATCCCGGGCCTCGTAGCAAACATTAGTAAGCCAGCGTAATAGAAAAATCTGAATAAAATCTCAGGTGATTTGTTTTGTTTTGTTTTCCGATTTGCATTCTGAGGATCCTGTAATGCAACTTGGTCATGGCTCACAAAATGTGCTCCCATAAGAATGAAGAAAGTGCAGCCCTAGCCAGTGTGGCTCAGTGGATAGAGTGTAGGCCCACAGGCTGAAGAGTCCTGGGTTCGATTCCAGTCAAGGGCATGCACCTTGGTTACAGGTTCCCCCGCACTGGTCAGGGTGCGTGCAGAAGGCAACCAGTCCTTGTGTCTCTCTCATATTGATGTTTCTCTCTTTCTCTTCCTCCCTCTAAAACTCATGGGAAGATATCTATTTAAAAAGCAACACTGGGGACCTCGGTTTCATGTGTCAGTCTTTTACCTACTCCCTGAAGCAAAAGCTCAAAGCCCTTGATTGTGTATTTTTTGCTTACTTATTTATTCATGTATTTCTTTTTTTATTTTAATATATTTTATTGATTTTTTACAGAGAGGAAGGGAGAGGGATAGAGAGCTAGAAACATCAATGAGAGACAATCATCGATCAGCTGCCTCCTGCACACCCCCCACTGGGGATGTGCCCGCAACCAAGATACATGCCCTTGACCGGAATTGAACCTGGGACCCTTCAGTCCGCAGACCGGTGCTCTATCCACCGAGCCAAACCAGTCTTGGCCAGGCCGTCTTTTTTGATGCAAAAAGCATCAAATTTTTCTTGTGAAAAATTAAAATGGGAAAACTGTATTAGAAAAAGGACTCTGTGATGTTGGGTTTGAGAATGGAACTGGGGACCCTTTGGCCTGCAGGCTGACGCTCTAGCCACTGAGCCAAACCAGCTTAGGTGCTATAACTTGTTTTTTATTGTCAGAAGTTCCAGTAAGAGTCTGGAAGGGAAATGCCTTGTGTGACTCAGGAGGTCCATTTACTGATCTGTAGCCGTGCGTATTGTGTCTCATGAGCTACAAATCGGAGCCGGGAGAAAGTTTTGGACACAATGGGTTTGGCAGGGAGCCAGAACGGATCCAGTCGGTCAGGCAACGCCCTTCCCACCGAGACCTCCAGACCCCCCTTCCCCGGCCAGGCAGGTGCCTCCCGCTTTCTCACTAAAGGGTCTAGAGGCTGCTCTGGGGACTATTTGATTGTAAAGAGCTAACTCCACTGGAGGTGAAGTTTTAAGCTTTTCCTTTATACCTGAAAATAAGAGATTAGGACAGCCCTAAAAGGTTTGGCTCAGTGGATAGAGCGTCAGCCTGCAGGCTGAAGGGTCCCGAGTTCGATTCCGGTCAAGGGCACATGCGGGCTTGATCCCCAGGAGGGGGCGTGCAGGAGGCAGCCTGCCAATGATGCTCTCATGCTTGATGTTTCTCTCCGCTCACCTTCTGAAATCAATTAAAATTTAAAAAAATAAGGCACATAAGAGACATGTCCAGTTAGTATGTCCTACCCTGACACACCAAGCAGCGGTGTGTTCGAATACTCAACCAGGACAGCCACACGCCCAGCGGATCGCGACCTCAGGTACCTGCGCCAGGCCTCCCGCGTGAAGCAGGGTGAGGTCAGGCATCCAGGAGCATCCAGGCACCACCAGCCCGTAGAGCGCCATCAGGAGGTACGGGACGGAATAGAACAGGTGCACCAGCATCTGCGGCAACAGAGACAGACACGTCTGTGTCACACACCGGCCGGCCCGTCCCCCGGGGAGAGCACCGAACACGGACACGTGCACAGGTGAGCCCGTTCACTCCCGCTGCCCAGGCGGGACCATGTGTTCAAAAGCCTCAGGCTCCACCGCCTCCTGACCTGGATCTTGGGGTACGCGGCAGGGTCCTTCAGATAAGGCTCCTGGAACTGGGTATAAGCGCGGCAGAGCTCGGCGGGGCAGTCCAGAGCAATCTGGGGACAGAAAGGAGCTCGTTGTCAAGATGCAGTCACAGCCCTCGCTGGTGTGGCTCAGTGGATAGAGCGTCGGCCTGCGGGCTGAAAGGTCCCGGGTTCGATTCCCGTCAAGGGCATGTACCTTGGTTGTGGGCACATCCCCAGTGGGGGTTGTGCAAGAGGCAGCTGATGGGTGACTCTCTCTCATCGATGTTTCTAACTCTATCCCTCTCCCTTCTTCTCTGTAAAAAATCAATTAAAAAAAAAAAATATATATATATATATATATAAAGTTCCAGGTTCCGCCAGCAGAGCACGCAATGCCTGCTTCTCCAGGGAAGAGCTAGCCCCCCTGCCTTTCTGCACCGGGTTCATCTCACTGTGCTTTGCAAGATTCGCCAACAGCCGCCTCTGTCCAGGGCCTGGTCAGGGAGGGCTGGTAGACACGTTCCTTGGATCTGTTCCGCTTACCAAGCCTCTAAACAGGCTAAATCCAGTTGCCAGGAGGAGGCATATGACCAGCAGGAAGTCCAATGGTCTTCTCAGCAGGTCCTTTGCTTGGACCTCTTGAACAACCTAAAACAGAGTTTGCAACCGCTGAGCAGGTAGGGGTGGGGGGGACCGGGGACCCACTGAGACAGGGTGACAGGAGAGGGTGAAGACTCCCCATTCGTATCAGAACCCCCAGCCATGAGGCTTTAGGACAATCATAGAAACCGGTGTGGCTCAGTGGATAGAGCACTAGCCTGCGGACTGAAGGGTCCCAGGTTCGATTCCAGTCAAGGGCATGTGCCTTGGTTGCGGGCACATCCCCAGTGGGGGGAGTGCAGGAGGCAGCTGGTTGATGTTTTTCCCTCATCGATGTTTCTAGCTCTCTATCCCTCTCCCTTCCTCTTTGTAAAAAAAAATATATATATAATTTTTTTTTAATTACCTTGGACGGGTAATGGCAATATTCCGGCGGCTGATTATAGATCCTGACACCGGCCCAGACGGGGAGACACGTGTACGGGATGCTTAAGATGAAAGCGGGGCAGATGCGTGTTCCAAACTTCCCTGTTTAAAAGAGAGAAAGGGAAAGTCAGAAGGTTACCAAAAGCATATATGAACCCAAACAACATGTAGGCACTTCCCCATTGCCAGTCGTCTAAAATCCCACTGTGGACCAGGCAATATGTCTAACCAGAAAAGCCAGATCAGCCAAAGCCGGGGTGGCTCAGTGGGCAGAGCACCAGCCTGTGAACTGAAGGGTCCCGGGTTCGATTCCAGTCCAGGGCATAAGTACCTTGGTTGCGGGCACATCCCCAGTAGGAGTTGTGCAGGAGGCAGCTGGTCAATGTTTCTCTCTCATCGAAGTTTCTAACTCTCTATCCCACTCCCTTCCTCTCTGTAAAAAAAAAAAAAAATCAATAAAATATATTTTTAAAAAAATAAATAAATAAAATCAAAACAATCCCCATTGTTTCAGAAAAGGAAAGTGAGCTCCAAGATCAAGTTTCTTACCTACGATGTTTCCCGGGACAAAAACCACCATGCTCATCATTATCGATCCAACCCAGTACAGGCCGATGTTTCTGTAACTCTCCCTGTAATGAAAAGACCCTGGCTGAGCAGGCCATCTGCTACAGACAAGCCATAGTGTTACCTTTATTCTCACTAACAAAGTACCCGGATGGGAACCTCCTGGAGACTCCTAACCCGGACACAGGGACCCCAGAGAGGAAGGGAGAGGGAGAGAGTCAGAAACATCAATGAGAGAGTAACATCAATCAGCTGCCTCTTGCATCCCCCCTTCCCCCACTGAGGGTTCGCCTGCAACCAAGGTAAATGCCCTTGACCGGAATCAAACCCAGGACCCAAGAGTCCACAGGCTGACACACTCCATCCACTGAGCCACACCGGTCAGGGCCCGAGGATATTTTTCCATTGATTTTAACTAGTAGAGTGGAAGGGAAGGAGAGAGAAACATCGATATGAGAGAGACATATGGATTAGTTGCCTCCTGCACACAGCCAGACCAGGGTCCCAGCCAGGGAAATGGCAGCCAAGGTATGTGCCCTTGACTGGAATCGAACCCAGGACCTTTCGGTAGAAGGCATTCAGGAGGCAGCCGATCAATGATTCTCATCATTGATATTTCTCTCTCTCTCTCCCTTCCTCTCTGAAATCAATTTAAAACAAAGGTGCTGGGCCTTAACTGGTTTGTGGACTGAAGGGTCCCAGGTTCAATTCCGGTCAAGGGCATGTACCTTGGTTGCAGGCACATCCCCAGTGGGGGGCGTGCAGGAGGCAGCTGATCGATGTTTCTCTCTCATTGATGTTTCTAACTCTATCCCTCTCTGTAAAAAAATCAATAAAATATATTTTAAAAATAAAAAAATAAAATATAAAAAAAAGAAGAAGAAGAATGTACTGGGCCTTAACCAGTTTGGCTCAGTGGATAGAGCGTCGGCCTGAGGACTAAAGGGTCCCAGGTTCGATTCCAATCAAGGGCACATCCCCAGTGGGGGGCGTGCAGGAGGCAGCTGATGGATGTTTCTCTCCCATCAATGTTTCAACTATCCCTCTCCCTTCCTCTCTGTAAAAAAAATAATGAATAAAATATATTTTAAAAATAAATTAAGAAATAAAAAGAACGTGCTGGGCTTATATTCCTGAAAACCCCTGTTCCAAAAAGAACAAAGTAAGGTCTGCCCGAGCCATCACCCAAGGCAGCAGTAACCCGAGAGCCAGGAGCCAAGGGCCGTGGACCACAGAACACAGGGTCTGTCTGTCTGTCTGTCTGACTCATCTCCAAGGTGCAAGCAGCCTTCCGTCTGAGGACACCCGTCTGTCCGCTCCCCTCTGCTTCCCCCTCACCTACCCCCTTAGCGTCGGTTGCTAAGGCGACGAAGCGACTTACTCCCATGCGATGGCCGCCACCATCACCAGGTACATGAGGTAGTGGGCGGAGCCGTCCCAGTAGCAGACCATGTGGCCGTGGGCTGTGTTCAGGTACGGTTCGCCCTGCGGGGAGCACGGAGAGGGGGTTCGCTTTCCAGGGCACCCCGACACCCCGGAACCCCAGACCTGCCCCGCGTGTGAAACTAAGTATCAGCCGAAACCGGTGTGGCTCAGTGGATAGAGCGTCGGCTTGGGGACTGAAAGGTCCCAGGTTCGATTCCGGTCAAGGGCATGTACCTTGGTTGCGGGCACATGCCCAGTGGGGGGGGGTGCAGGAGGCAGCTGGTCGATGTCTCTCTCCTATGGATGTTTCTAACTCTTTATCCCTCTCTCTTCCTCTCTATAAAAAAAATCAATAAAAAAATTTATATATATATATATATATAGCCGAAACCAGTTTGGCTCAGTGGATAGAGCGTCGGTCTGCGGACTGAATGGTCCCAGGTTCGATTCGGGTCAAGAGCATGGACCTTGGTTGCGGGCAGCTGGTCGATGTTTCTCTGTCATCGACGTTTCTAGCTCTCTCTCTCTCCCTTGCTCCTCTCTGTAAAATATCAATAAAATATATATATTAAAATATATATATATATATATATATATATATATTTTTTTTTTTTTTTTAATGCCTACCATCGCCCAGCTGGCGTGCCTCAGTGATTAAGTTTCGACCTATGACCTTGGTGTATGGGACGATGGTTACCTCTCATCACTGATGTACTTCACTGGCATATGCGTAAGACTAACTTGGGCTTTCAGATGTAGTGATGTGTTAATAACATCACACAAATTCTCCACTCATGTGAAGCTCGTCCTCTGCATTACGTGCAGGTGAAGGAGGCTGGGAGGAGGGGGCACTGGCCCGGGGGCCGAAGGCTCGGGACCAGGAAGGAAGGGGGGGGGGAAGGCCGTACCTCCCGCAGGTAGTGCGTCATGAACCCATCGATGACCCCGTCCTGCTCCAAGCCGATGATGAGGTTCACCACGCTGGTGAAGCCGAACACCGCGTACACTGGGGAGAGAGCAAAAAAGAAAAAATAGATCCTCGGTGAGGACTTAAAAAAAAAAAAAAAAAGCCGAAACCGGTGTGGCTCAATGGATAGAGCATCGACCTGCGGACTGAAGGGTCCAAGGTTCGATTCCAGTCAAGGGCATGGACCTTGGTTGCGGGCACATCCCCGGTGGGGGGGTGTGCAGGAGGCAGCTGATCGGTGACTCTCTCTCATGGATGTTTCTAGCTCTCTATCCCACGGAGGGACAGTGACAGAGGCCACCTTGCTGAGCTGTTCAGCAGACACAGCAGCTTCCCGGCCGGGAAGGGAGGGGGACGGGGAGAGGGACAGACAGACATACCATAGAACAGCGGGTCCCGGGGTGGCTTTCTCTTGACGAGGATTCGAGCCAACAGGGCCACCAGGAGCAGGATGAGGGCAGCAACCCCTACAATTGTCCAGAAGCTGCAGGACCAGAACAGGGAAGTGGTCACTCAGCTAAACAGCCGGCGCTGGGCGTTTCCTGGCTGGTGAATGGTCAGTCGGGCCCTCGGCCCAAACATGAGTGACGTTTCTTTGCATCTCCGTGGCCCCTCCTGCCCCGCCCCCGGGAGACTTGGGGGGACCAGAGCCACCAGCTCCTCATTGTCTTGTCTCTCCGCCCCCCCCCCCCCGCCCCTGCACAGGTGATGTGTCCCAGCAGCTGCTGCCTCTGCTCCTCCAGCCCCTCTCCCCTCAGTGGGAACGGGGAACCCTGGGACCACACACACCCCAGGAACCACCTGGAGTCACAGCTACCCACACTTTCCGGGGGACGAAGAGCCACAGGCCACATGTGTCATCAAAGGTACCAGAGGGCCCTAGCCGGTGTGGCTCAGTGGACAGAGCGTCGGACTGCAGACGGAAGGGTCCCAGGTTCGATTCCCCGTCAGGAATCCATGTCCAGGTTGCAGGCTTGATCCCCAGGAGGGGGCGTGCAGAAAGGCAGCTGGTCAATGAGTCTCTCATTGTTAAACTATTTATTTATTTTAATATTTTATTGATTTTTCACAGAGAGGAAGAGAGAGAGAGATAGAGAGTTAGAAACATCGATGAGAGAGAATCATGGATCAGCTCCCTCTTGCAAACCCTCCACCGGGGATGGGCTCGCAACCAAGGTACAGGCCCTTGACCGGAATCGAACCCGGGACCTTTCAGTCCCCAGGCCAACGCTCTATTCACTGAGCCAAACTGGTCCCGGCGAGTCTCTCATTGTTAATGTTTCTATCCTTCTCCCTTCCTCTCTGAAATCAATAAAAATATATTTTATTTATGTATTTATTTATTTTGTATCTTTATTGTTTTTTGTTTGTTTGATATATTTTATTGATTTTTTTTTACTGAGAGGAAAAGAGAGAAAGAGGGACAGAGAGCTAGAAACATCGATGAGAGAGAAACATCAACCAGCTGCCTCCTGCGCACCCCCTACTGGGGATGTGCCTGCAAGCAATGTATATGCCCTTGACTGGAATTGAACCTGGGACCTTTCAGTTCGCAGGCCGACGCTCTATCCACTGAGCCAAACTGGCCTCGGCAATAAAAATACATTTAAAAAAAATAATAATACATTTTTAAAGATAATAATAAAATAAATAAAAAGCAATGGAAAAATAGCCTCAAGTGAGGATTAACAAAAAAAAATAACAAATAAAAATAAAGACATATGGCCATAACCGGTTTGGCTCAGTGGACAGATCGTCAGCTTGCGGACTGAGGGGTCCCGGGTTCGATTCCGGTCAAGGACATGTACCTTGGTTGCGGGCACATCCCCAGTAGGAGGTGTGCAGGAGGCAGCTGACCGATCTCTCTCTCTCATCGATGTTCCTAACTCTCTATCCCTCTCTTCCTCTCTGTGAAAATAAACAATAAAATCTATTTTTTTTTAAAGAGTCAGGGCAGTTAAGGGATGCCCAGGGTCACTGAGCAGTCCAGTGTGGCTGCAGCAGTAGCATGAGGGACCGCGTTGGGCTGGGGAGCAGCGCCCTCAGGCAGGGAGGCTCTGTGGGGTCCATGAGTTCAGAGAGGACCAGTCCCAGGGGGAACCGGAAGGAGGGGACAGATGCCCGATCAGCCCCAGAACTTACTCAGGACGGGATGTCCGGCCTGCAGGCCATGTAAGGCCCGAGAAACCATCTGGTCTGGCCGTGCCAAGGCATTAGGGGCGAGTTAATTAAATGTTGGATTAAATAGAGCAGGCTCATTTTTGTTTTTAATCCTCACCTGAGGATATTTTTCCATTGATTTCAGAGAGAGGGGAAGAGAGAGAGAAAGAAACCGCGATGGGAGAGAAACACATCGATGGGTTGCCTCCTGCACACGCCCCGACCACCAGGATCCGGGCTGGGGAGGAGCCTGCAGCCCAGGTCCATGTCCTTGACCGGAATCGAACCCGGAACCCTTTGGTCTGATGTTCTATCTACTGAGTCAAACTGACTAAGGCTAGCATGCTAATTTTTAAAAATATATATTTTATTGATTTTTTACAGAGAGGAAGGGAGAGGGATAGAGTTAGAAACGTCGATGAGAGAGAAACATCGGCCAGCTGCCCTCTGCACACCCCCCACCGGGGATGTGCCCGCAACCAATGTACATGCTCTTGACCGGAATCGAACCTGGGACCCTTCAGTCCGCAGGCTGACGCTCTACCACTGAGCCAAACCGGCTTCGGCTAGCATGCTAATTTTTAAAATATATTTTATTGATTTTTTACAGAGAGGAAGGGAGAGGGATAGAGAGTCAGGAGCATCGAGGAGAGAGAAACATCGATCAGCTGCCTCCTGTACACCCCATACTGGGGATGTGCCCGCAACCAAGGCACATGCCCTTGACCAGAATCGAACCCGGGAACCTTGAGTCCACAGGCTGATGCTCTGTCCACTGAGCCAAACCAGTGAAGGCTAGCAGGCTAATGTTTAATTAGATAACTCTGTATGGCCCGTGAATGATGTTACAAATATCCAAATGGCCCTTGGCAGGAAAAAGGTTCCCCACCCCTGACTTCCTGGGCAGAGGACGGCGGGAAGGAAGATGTAGAGAAACAAAAGGGAGGGGTCGAGGCCACTGGGATTGCAACCCGCAGGCGGACAGGAAGAATGGATGGAACAGCCAAAACCGGTTTGGCTCAGTGGATAGAGCGTCGGCCTGCAGACTGAAGGGTCCCAGGTTCGATTCCGGTCAAGGGCATGTACCTTGGTTGCAGGCACATCCCCAGTGGGGGGCATGCAGGAGGCAGCTGATCAAAGATTCTAAATCTATCTCTCTCACTTCCTCTCTGTAAAAAATCAATAAAATATATTAAAAATAAAAAAGAATAGATGGATGCCGAAACTGGTCTGGCTCAGTGGATAGAGCGTTGGCCTGAGGACTGAAGGGTCCCGGGTTCGATTCCGGTCAAGGGCATGTACCTTGGTTGCGGGCACATCCCCGGTAGGAGGTGTGCAAGAGGCTGCTGATCAATGATTCTCTCTCATGGGTGTTTCTAACTCTTTATCCCTCTCCCTTCCTCTCTGTGACAAATCAATAAAATATATTTTAAAGAATAAAAATGAACATTCGTTGAATTGTTTTAAAGGCCATTTTAGGGGCGCAGGGTCCCCCATGCACTATATTTGCCTGCTTCGGGAGTTGTGCTCGCCCAGGCTGGGTCAGCCGGAGGGCAGCCGCTGCCCGTGCCTGGGGACGGCTCCGACTGATGGACGGGGGCCACCTGGACATGGGGGGGAGGCAGCCAGCGGTGGCCTGAGCCGCGACTAAGGAGGAGGAAGTCACAGCCCTGTGGGCAGACACTTCTCCGCAGCCTGGAAATCAGGAGGGGGGGTTCGCAGGCTACGGTCTGATGCAATTTCCTTAACGCCAACTGCTGTGGGCAACAAACAGGTTACTTCCTCCTCCTGCAAACAGGGAACATCAGCCTTGCCAGGACCCTGGCATCTTTCCCGCTGTCACTGGGCAGGCCTGCAGCTGCCAGCTGCCGCTGCTGCTGCTGGGTCCCTTAGCCAGGCATCCCCCTGCCCCAGAGGCAGGGCTCTGAACTAAACCCACCTGAGGCCCCACCCATTTCCTTAGCAGCCAGACACAACCCCCCTCTTACCTCCTTCCTCTCTCCCGCTGGCTCCCTGCTCCCCATCCCACCTAGAATGCAAGTGCAGGACCAAAACCGGTGTGGCTCAATGGATAGAGCGTCGGCCTGCGGACTGAAAGGTCCCAGGTTCGATTCCGGTCAAGGGCATGTGCCTCGGTTGCGGGCACATCCCCACTGGGGGGTGTGCAAGAGGGAGCTGATGGATGATTCTTTTTCATCGATGTTTCTAACCCTCTCTCCCTCTCTCTTCCTCTCTCTGTAAAAAAATCAATAAAATATATTTAAAAAATAAAAATAAGCCAAACCCGGTTTGGCTCAGTGGATAGAGCGTCGGCCTGCGGACTGGGGCGGTCCCGGGTTCGATTCTGATCAAGGGCATGTGCCTCGGTTGCGGGCACATCCCCACTGGGAGGTGTGCAGGAGGCAGCTGGTCTGTGTTTCTCTCTCATTGACGTTTCTAACTCTCTGTCCCTCTCAATTCCTCTCTGTAAAAAAAAAATCAATAAAATATATATATTTTTAAAAAGACACGAGAAGTATGTGTGTGTCCATACATGGTCACGTTCCTGGGAAACGCGCAACGGCTGGCGCGCTGGGCACCCGGCCGCGGTGCCCTCCCGCCTTCACCCCCCCCCTCCTCAAGGGCAGGGGGTGCACCGCCTTCCCCAGCACCGTTACCCGGGGCCCTGGCGCCCCTGGCACCGCGCGGGTCCCCAGCAGGTGGCCCAGGATCGCGCCCAAGCCAAAGGGAAGGATGCCAGCCTGAGCCAGGAAGACCCAGGTCTGGACGATCGGGGTCACCGGGGCGCGCCTACCCCTTTCCCCTCTGCGCCCCTGCGCGCCCTCTCCTTTCCCAATCCAGCCCGCGGGGGGCCCCGAAGGCCAGCGAGCGCCCCGGGATCAGGTCTGAGAAGTTGGGGGGCTCCCTCCGCACCCCCTCCAGGCCCCCCCGCACTCACTCGTGCTGCGCCGCCAGGTGGTTGAAGACGTAGGTGACCGGGATGGCCGAGAGGGACAGCACGAAGACGCCGGTGGCCGCCGTCGCGCTCATCGCCGCCGCCCGCGGCCGCCCCGCGACCGGCCCCGCGGGCAAGCGCCCGCTCCGCGCGCCGGTCCGTCCGCCCGTCCGCGCGCCCGAGCGTCCGTCCGCTCCGATCGGGGCGCAGGGCGGCCGCGCAGACCCGGGGGGCGCGGTCCTCCTGCTCAGGGGCCCCCGGGGCTCTCAGACCGCAGCGCCGCCGGGTCCGGGTCCGCCGAGGGGCGGCGACCGCGTCCTGCCCGGGGACAGGTGCCCGCGGGGAGGCGGACCGGCGGGGGCGGGGCCGGGGGCGGGGCCAGGTCCGGGGGCGGGGCCAGCGCGGCCTGGCCCCACCCAGGCACCAAGTGTGGGAACCCCTCGCCCCCAGAGTCAGGAAGGGGCTGGTGATGGCCCCAGCCGGTGTAGTTTAGTGGATAGAGCGTCGGCCTGCGGACTGAGGGGTCCCGGGTTCGATTCCGGTCAAGGGCATGGACCTTGGTTGCGGGCACATCCCCAGTGGGGGGTTTGCAGGGGGCAGCTGATCGATGTTTCTAACTCTCTAGCCCTCTCCTTTCCTTTCTGTAGAAATCAATTATATATATATATATATATATATATATATATATATATATATATATATATATAGAGAGAGAGAGAGAGAGAGAGAGAGAGAGAGAGAGAGAGAGAGAGAGAGAGAAAGAAAGAAGAAGAAGAAGAAGAAGGAGGAGGAGGAGGAGGAGGAGGAGGAGGAGAAAGGACTGATGACCCCAAAACCTAGGAACCCCTCCAGGGAGCAGCCAGCCGCAGGCAGTAAGCACAGCTCCTGCATAGAGTCCTAATTCCGTTTTATTTTATTATTTTTATTTTTTTAAAGATTTCAGAGAGGAAGAGAGAGAGATAGAAACATCAATGATAAGAGAGAATCATTGGCCCTGATTGATTTGGCTCAGTGGGTAGAGCGTCAGTCTGCGGACTCAAGGGTCCCAGGCTTGATTCTGGTCAAGGGCATGTGGCTTGGTTGCGGACACATCCCCGGGGGGGGGGGAGGTGTGGAGGTGTGTGCAGGAGGCAGCTGATTGATGTTTCTCTCTCATAAATGTCTCTTTTTAAACATATATTTTATTGATTTTTTACAGAGAGGAAGAGAGAGGGATAGAGAGTTAGAAACATTGATGAGAGAGAGACATGGACCAGCTGCCTCTTGCAGCCCCCCACCACTGGGGATATGCCCACAACCAACGTACATGCCCTTGGCCGGAATCGAACCTGGGACCCTTCAGTCCGCAGGCTGACGCTCTATCCCCTGAGCCAAACCGGTTCCCGCGAATATGTCTTCTCTCTTGCCAGCCACTGTCATTCTCACTCCCTCTCGCCTCATTTGGGGTAAAACATTATGGGAAGTAATATTCACAGAGCATTGACTGGAGGGTACTTATCAGTGACGCCTTGATCAGAGCTGGCAGGTCAGTCAAGCTGGCCCGTGACAAGAACCCTGTGGTGTGTCCCGTGGGGAGGTCTCTAAACCCAAGCAAATGGGGGCTAATTTGGGGGTGATGATGGCTGTATGCCCAGCACTAAACACAGTGCCAGGCCGAAACCGGTGTGGCTCAGTGGATAGAGCGTCGGCCTGAGGACTGAAAGATCCCAGGTTTGATTCCGGTCAAGGACATGTACGTTGGTTGCGGGCACATCCCCAGTGGGGGGGCTGCAAGAGGCAGCTGATCAATGTTTCTCTCTCATCGATGTTTCTAACTCTCTATCCCTCTCCCTTCCTCTCTGTAAAAAAAATCAATAAAAAAATTTTTTAAAAAAAAGCCGAAACCCGTTTGGCTCAATGGATAGAGCGTCGGCTTGGGGACTGAAAGGTCCCGGGTTCGATTCCGGTCAAGAGCATGGACCTTGGTTGCGGGCACTATGCCCAGTGGGGGGTGTACAAGAGGCAGCTGATCGATGACTCTCTCGCATCAATGTTTCTAACTCTCTGTCCCTCTCTCTTCCTCTCTGTACAAGATCAATAAAATATATTTAAAACAAAAAACAAAACACAGTGCCAGGCATAGAGCACATGCTCTCCATGGATGTTAACTCAAGAGAAAAAAAAAAGAGAGAGAGAGAGAGAGAGAGAGAGAGAGAGAGAGAGAGAGAGAGAGAGAGAGGAAGCAAGCTAAGTGGGGTTACAAAAGAGAGGGGGCAGGGACCCAGAGACGGAGGAAGTGTGCAGGAAAGTGATAAGAAAGGGATCCTGGGGGTACAGTTCGCCTGTGCACGTCTGTCCAATGGTCCAGGGCCGCTGCTCAGTGAGGGCTGCCCCCGCCCCACCCCGACCTGGGTTTCCTAGCAACCAGAGCAGGAGAGAAACACAATCAGTGCTCACGTCCGCAGAGCCCATAGGATGGAAGCAGAGCAGCCGGGACGGTGTGGCTCAGTGGTAGAGCGTCCGCCTGCGGACTGAAAGGTCCTGGGTTCGATTCCAGTCAAGGGCACATGCCTTGGTTGTGGGCACATCCCCAGTAGGGGGTGTGCATGAGGCAGCTGATCGATGTTTCTTTCTCTCCACTGCTCCCTTCCTTTCTGAAATCAATAAAAATACATTCAAATAAATAAATAAACAAGCAAACTTTTTTTTTTTTTTTTTAAAGAGCAAAGGTGGAAAAATCAGCCTTGTAAAGAAGGGAAGCCCTAACCGGTTTGACTCCGTGGATAGAGCGTTGGCCTGCAGACTGAAAGGTCCCGGGTTCGATTCTGGTCAAGGGCATGTACCTTGGTTGCGGGCACATCCCCAGTAGGGGGTGTGCAGGAGGCAGCTGATGGATGATTCTCTCTCATCAATGTTTCTAACTCTCTATCCCTCTCTCCTCCTCTCTGTGAAAAATCAATAAAATATATATTTAAAAAATAATAATAAAAAAAGATGGAAGCAGAGCAGATGCTCGGCAGGGTTCTCCCAGGGGCCCTCTCCCAGGGAACACGGTGCCGGAGAGAGTGTCCTCAGCACCGTATTCCCGCTCCAAACATAGAACCTGCTTCTCAACAGCTGTCTCTCGGCACAGCCTCAAGGCCAGAGGCTGGCTGATTCCCAAGAGACCCCTGGGTGCCTCCACGAAGTCAAAAGGATTTTACACAAAATGAGCGCCTTTCTGGCGCTGTAGGTTGGTCCAGAGGTAAACGTTAGAATGTCTGGGGGGGGGGGGGGAGCCGAGACCGGTGTGGCTCAATGGTTAGAGCGTCGGCCTGCAGACTGAAGGGTCCCAGGTTCGATTCCAGTCAAGGGCACATACCTTGGTTGCGGGCACATCCCCAGTTAGGAGGTGTGCAGGAGGCAACTGATTGATGTTTCTCTCTCTCCACTGCTTCCTTCCTTTCTGAAATCAATAAAAATATATTCAAATAAATAAACAAGCAAACTTTTTTTTTTTTTTTTTTTTTAGAGAGAGAGAGAGAGAGAGGGAGAGAACAAAGGTGGAAAAATCAGCCTTGTAAAGAAGGGAAGCCCTAACCGGTTTGACTTCGTGGATAGAGCGTCGGCCTGCAGACTGAAGGGTCCCAGGTTCGATTCCAGTCAAGGGCATGTACCTTGGTTGTGGGCACATCCCTGGTAGGGGGTGTGCAGGAGGCAGCTGATCGATGTTTCTCTCTCATCGATGTTTCTTACTCCCTATCCCTCTCCTTTCCTCTCTGTAAAAAAAAAAAAAAAAAAAAAAGCAATGAAATATTAAAAAAAGAAAAAGAAGGGAAATTTCAGAGGCGGCTGGGAGGAGAGCAAGCCGACCTACTTATAACGGAGTTGGTCTAGTTTCTGTTTCAGGGACGTGAGCAGGATGGGCTACATGAAGTTCAATGTGTCCACATCGTCACCTGGTCTATATTTACCCCCCGTAACCGGAGAGGCTGCATGGCCCAGCGATGGGAGCCCCGAAACCCGACCCACTGCTTTGAATTTCATGTCTGGCCCTGGCACGCTTTTTCGTGGAAGGCCATGCTTGTATCCCAGCAACCAAACCCCGTCTTCGTGGCTCACGTCAAAGATTGGGAACACGGGGTGGGGGCAGGTGATTCCGGCTCCTTCAGGACCTGGGGGCCCTAGGAATTTTTGTGAACACCGCAACAGCCTTGACAATGTGTGGCCAACTGGGCGAATTATAGTTATTGATCTCAAGCTTTTTGTTTTTTTTTTAAATATATTTTATTGATTTTTTACAGAGAGGAAGAGAGAGGGTTAGAGAGTTAGAAACATCGATGAGAGGGAATCATTGAACAGTTGCCTTTTGCACACCCCCTACTGGGGATGTACCCACAACCAAAGTATGTGCCCTGGACCGGTATCGAACCCCGGACCCCTCAGTCCACAGGCTGACGCTCTATCCACTGAGCCAAACTGGTTTCAGCTGATCTCATCAAAATAGCAGGCGAGGGGGCAAATAAGAAAAGTATAACTGGCTGACACTGGTTTGGCTCAGTGGATAGAGCATTGGCCTGGGGACTGAAAGGTCCCAGGTTCGATTCCAGCCAAGGGCATGGACCTTGGTTGCGGGCACATCCTCGGTAGGGGGTGTGCAGGAGGCAGCTGATGGATGTTTCTTTCTCATTGATGTTTCTGGCTCTCTATCCCTCTCCCTTCCTCTCTGTAAAAAATCAATAAAATATATATTTTTTTAAAAAATTGCCCAAGGTGTCGAAACCGGTTTGGCTCAGCGGATAGAGCGTCGGCCTGCGGACTGAAGGGTCCCAGGTTCGATTCCGGTCAAGGGCATGTACCTTGGTTGCGGGCACAACTCCAGTGGGGGGTGTGCAAGAGGCAGCTGATCAATGATTCTCTCTCATCATTGATGTTTCTAACTTTCTATCCCTCTCTCTTCCTCTTTGTAAAAAAAATCAATAAAATATATATTTTAAAAAAGTGCCCAAGGCCATGGAGAAAGTAAGTGGCCAAGATGTGATTCAAAACCATTGCAAAGCCCTGCTCTTTGCCTTGTGATTTAAAAAAAAAAAATTATATATATATATATATATATATATATATATATATATATATTGATTGATTTCAGGGAGGATGAGAGAGGGAGAGAGAGAGAGATAGAAACCTCAATGATGAGAGAGAATCATGGATTGGCTGCCCCCTGCACACTCCACCCTGAGGATCAAGCCCGGCACCCAGGACTGTGCCCTGACCGGGAATGGAACCATGACCTCCTGGTTCCTAAGTCAACGCTCAACCACTGAACCACACCGGCTGGACAAAGCCTTGCTCTTAACTAATACTGGTTACCAGCAGTGTTCCAACTTCTTTACACTTGGGTGCCCCTTTATCTGTTTTTTTTTTTTTAATATATATATTTTCTTGATTTTTTACAGAGAGGAAGAGAGAGGGATAGAGAGTTAGAAACATCGATGAGAGAGAAACATCCATCAGCTGCCTCCTGCACACCCCCCACTGGGGATGTGCCCGCAACCAAGGTCCATGCCCTTGACCGGAATCAAACCCGGGACCCTGGAGTCCACAGGCCGATGCTCTATCCACTGAGCCAAACCAGTTTCAGCTATTTGTTTGTTTGTTTTTTAAATTTCTGGAGCCAGGCTCCTAGGAAAAGCTTCTCAGAAACTCCTGACCCTAAGGAAAGGGAGGGTGATGTTGGTTTTTAGGGCTGAGGTCAATCACCTCTCGCTGAAGAGTGTTAATACTCAGTTGTAAACAGGTCAAGTGTGGGGCTGGAAAAATACCCTGTGTGCTCAGAGATCTTTGAGAGAAGACTGCTAATCCTTCCCGTGAAACCTGGCCAAGGCTGGATTGGACTCGTTTAGGATTTGCAAGGAGGAAGTCTTAGTTCCTCCAGACTTTTTTTAAAAAAAATATATTTTTATTGATTTTTTTACAGAGAGGAAGGGAGAGGGAGAGAGAGAAACATCGACCAGCTGCCTCCTGCACGCCCCCCACTGGGGATGTACCCGCAATCAAGGTACTTGCCCTTGACCGGAATCGAACCTGGGACCCTTCAGTCTGCAGGCCGACACTCTATCCACTGAGCCACACCGGTTTCGGCATCCTCCAGATTTTTACTTCTCTTCTGCCCTGGAGATATCCTCGCAGCCTGAGGCGGAGAGGGAATTATTTCACACGCTTATCGGTCCCTGCTGGACACACGAGTCTTTTTTCTGCTTTTGGCCTCTTGACTTTGGATTCTATTAATACCTGCAACACTCATCTCCCAGGCAGAGGGTGACCCAGTAACAGCTCCCTTTTCATGCGCTGCTGAGATAGAAAAATCCCAAGGACGTAATCACGGCCTTTTACCTATTTTAAATGTCTTCTCTTTCTCTGGCATTCAAATAATTCCCAAAGCAGGGTTCTTCCTCACTCTTTCTCCTGCCTGCCTTTTCTAGAGCTGTACTGAATGTTTCTTTTCTTTTTTCTTTTTTTTAATTTTTTTCCCAACAGGTTCTAATTATAAACTAGCACACACGACTTTCCCAGGCTGAATTCCAAAAAAGCAATGACAAGCAAAGAAAGGAGAACTCCATAAGCAAGCTGAATTTAGTTTAGGGGCCTTGGCTTCCAAGTTTTCTTTCTTTCTTTTTTTTAAAATATATTTTATTGATTTTGTACAGAGAGGAAGGGAGAGGGATAGAGAGCTAGAAACATCGATGAGAGAGAGTCATCGATCAGCTGCCTCCTGCACCCCCCCCCACTGGGGATGTGCCCGCAACCAAGGTACATGCCCCTGACCAGAATTGAACCCGGGTTCCCTTCAGTCCCCAAGCCGATGCTCTATCCACTGAGCCAAACCGGTTTCGGCCCAAGTTTTCTTTTGATCTGAAAAAAAATTTTATTTCTAGCTGCACAGGTCATAATGGGTTCCTCCCTTTTTTATTAGCTTCGTTGGGGTGAGTGATGTGTTCTAGTGATCTTCGTAATCTCACCCTAGTGCCTTGCACTTAACACATATGAGTGCTGAAATGAATTCAATGGCATTTCAGAGGAAATCAAAGCTATAACTGTAGCCAAGGCCGGCTTGGCTCAGTGGGTAGAGCATCGGTCTGCAGACACTGAAAGGTCTCATGTTCGATTCCAGTCAGGAGCATGTACATTGGTTGCGGGCATATTCCCAACAGGGGTTGTGCAGGAGGCAGCTGGTCAATGTTTCTCTCTAATTGATGTTTCTAACTCTCTATCCCTTTCCCTTCCCCTCTATAATAAAATCAATAAAATATATTTTTAAAAAAGATAAAAACTGCATTCTGTGGGATAGCTAATTCAAAATTTGCATAGCCCTAGCAGGTTTGGCTCAGTGGATAGAGCATCAGCCTGCGGACTGAAAGGTCCCAGGTTCAATTCCGGTCAAGGGCATGTACCTTGGTTGCAGGCACATCCCCAGTGGGGGGGATGCAGGAGGCAGCTGATGATGTTTTTTTTTGTTGTTGTTTGTTTGTTTTACTATATTTTATTGACTTTTTACAGAGAGTAAGGGAGAGGGATAGAGAGTTAGAAACATCGATGATGTTTCGATCAGCTGCCTCCTGCACACTGCAACCAAGGTACATGCCCTTGACCAGAGTTGAACCTGGGACCCTTCAGTTCACAGGCCAATGCTCTATCCACTGAACCAAAGCGGTTTCGGCATGATCGATGTTCATACTGTGATGTGTTTCTAGGAATTTGTCCATTTCATCTAGGTCAGTGGTCAGTAATCTCATTAGTCAACAGAGCCAAATATCTTGAAATTTCTTTGGAGAGCCAATTTTTAAAAAAATATATATTTTATTGCTTTTTTTTTTTTTTTTTTACAGAGAGGAGAGCGATAGTTAGAAACATCGATGAGAGAGAAACATCCATCAGGTGCCTCTTGCACACATCCCCACCCCTCAGGGGATGTGCCCTCAACCAAGGTACATGCCCTTGACCAGAATCGAAACTGGGACCTTTCAGTCCACAGGCGGACTCTCTATCCACAGAGCCAATCCAGTTTTGGCATGGAGAGCCAAATTTTTAAAACTTAAACTTCTTCTAATGCCATATCTTCAAAATAGACTCGCTCAGGCTGTGGTATTCTGTGGAAGAGCCACACTCAAGGGGCCAAAGAGCCGCATGTGGCTCGTGAGGTGCAGTTTGCCAACCATGGATTTAGATTATCCAATTTTTTTGGCACATAGTTGTTCATAGTACATAACCTAACCCTTTTATTTCTGTTGCATAGGTGGTCAAGTCTTCACTTTCCTTTCTTCCTTTCTTTTTATTTAAAGAAAGGTTTTATTTATTTATTTATTTAATTTTATTTATTATTGATTTTTTACAGAGAGGAAGAGAGAGGGATAGACAGTTAGAAACATCAATGAGAGAGAATCACGGATCAGCTGCCTCTTGCACACCCTCTACTGGGGATGTGCCCGCAACCAAGGTACATGCCCTTGACTGGAATTGAACTTGGGACCTTTCAGTCCGCAGGCCAATGCTCTATCCGTTGAGCCACACCGGTTTCGGCTACACTTTCCTTTCTGATGTCTTCTCTCTCCCCACTTAGTCTATCTAGTTACAGGATTACAATTTTTTAAATATATAATGTTATTGATGTCAGATAGAAAGGGAGACGGAGAGAGATAGAAACATCAATGATGAGAGAAAATTATTGATTGGCCGCCTCCTGCATACCCCACCCTGGGGATGGAGCCTGCAACCCAGGCATATGCCCTTGACCTGGACTGGAACCTGTGACCTCCTGGTTCCTAAGTAGACGCTCACTCAACCACTGAGTTCCGCTGCAGGCAGGGATGCCCTATTTTTGCTCTGAGACATTTGGGGTTCCTTTGAGTTTTAAAATACAGTAAGCTTTTGGCAAATGGATTATAACACATAAAAAAAAAAAAAAAAAAAAAGGAAAGCCGAAACCGGTTTGGCTCAGTGGATAGAGCATCCGCCTGTGGACTGAAGGGTCTGGGGTTCGATTCCGGGCAAGGGCATGTACTTTGGTTGAGGGCACATCCCCAGTAGGGGGCGTGCAGGAGGCAGCTGATCGATGACTTATTGATGTTTCTAATTCTCTTTCCCTTCCTCTCTGTAAAAAAATCAATAAAATATATTTAAAAAAAAAAAAAAAAGAGGCGAAGGGAAGGCGCTGGGGTAGCAGAAGTCAGCGGGCCGGGGCAGAGGGGGCAGAGGGGGCAGAGAGGGCAGAGGGGTTGGCCTTGGCCTTGGCCTCCCTTCCCTCCTTCCCCTCCCTCCCCTTCCGGCGAGAAAGTCGCTGAGGACCCGCCCAGGGACCCGTCCCGGGTCCCCGCGGGGCGCCCCGCGGCCGGCGATGGGGGTCCAAGGGCGGGCAGAGGCCGGTCGGCCCGCGCCCAGACGTCGGCCGCCCTGGAGGCGGGGCCTGCGCGTCCCGGAAGCGCCTTCCCGGAAGCGCCTTTCCGGAAGTGCCTTTCCGGAAGCGCCGGGGGCGGGCCCAGTGGGCGGGGCCGGTGGGCGTCTCCGCGGTGTCGGAGGCGGCGGGCGCCCTCTCCGCAGCCCCGGGACGATGGCTTCGCTCGGTCCGGCCGATCCGGGCGAGCAGGGCCTGGGCTCCGAGGCGGAGGCGGGCGCCGCGGGGCCTCTTCCTCCTCCTCCTCCGCCGCCGCCGCCGCCATCGTCGTCGTCGGCGCTGGGCCCCCTGCTGCCCCTGCAGCGGGAGCCGCTGTACAACTGGCAGGCGACCAAGGCGTCGCTGAAGGAGCGCTTCGCCTTCCTCTTCAACTCGGAGCTGCTGAGCGACGTGCGCTTCGTGCTGGGCAAGGGCCGCGCCGGCGCCGCCTCCGCCGCCGCCGCCGCCGCGGGGGGCCCCCAGCGCATCCCCGCGCACCGCTTCGTGCTGGCGGCCGGCAGCGCCGTCTTCGACGCCATGTTCAACGGCGGCATGGCCACCACGTCCGCCGAGATCGAGCTGCCCGACGTGGAGCCCGCCGCCTTCCTGGCGCTGCTGAGGTGAGCGGGGGCCCGGGGCCCGGAGGTGACCTTGGCCGGGGGTGGCCCCCCGCCCGGCCCCGCCCGTGGGCGCCATCAAGGCCTCCGGGGGGGGGGGGGGGGGCTCGGGCCTGTCGGCAGGGGCTCCCCCGCCGTTGGAAGGCGCCCTCGTCTCGCGTTCCAGCCGCGCGGGTGGTCCCGGTGGCGCGTGTGCCCAGTTCCGTGTTTAGGTTTTAGGGAAGGTACTGATGGAAAGGCTCGTTGGGTCCCCGACGACATGGCCATTTTTTAAAAAAGAAATATATTTTTTATTGATTTTTTATTATTATTATTTTTTTTTACAGAGAGGAGAGAGAGGGATAGAGAGTTAGAAACATGGAGGAGAGAGAATCGTCGATCAGCTGCCTCCTGCACACCCCCCACTGGGGATGTGCCTGCAACCAAGGTCCATGCCCTTGACCGGAATCGATCCTGGGACCTTTCAGTCTGCAGGCCGACGCTCTATCCACTGAGCCACACCTGTTTCAGCGACATGGCCATTTTTTAAACATTTCCAAACAAGAAACTCTGATCCCCCCCCTTCCTCCTTAGCGCTCAGTGCTCGTGGCCAGAACCCCGGAGAGCGATCGCCCCAGGAAGTCCGAGGTGTTACCCTGCCTTGGGATGCTGCAGACCAGGGCACATTGGCTTGAAAAAGAATAGGGTTGTTTTTTTTTAAAGATATTTTATTGATTTTTTTTACAGAGAGGAAGGTAGAGGGACAGATAGAAACATCGATGGGAGAGAAACATCCATCAGCTGCCTCCTGCACACCCCCCACCGGGGATGTGCCTGCAACCAAGGTACATGCCCCTGATCTGAATCGAACCTGGGACCCCATCAGTCCTCAGGCTGAAGCTGTATCCACTGAGCCACACCGGCCTCGGATGTTTGTTGTTTTTTTTTTTTTTTGTTCTTTGCTTGTTTGAGGTTCATTGGACTGACTTCTGGTTAATTTGATGGAATGGAAGGGAGCTGCTCGTGTGGCAGTGTTCTCTTTTCTTGACAAGCAGGGAGCTAGAGGGATTGCTTTTTGCACCGTTGACAAAGGGGGCTGAGGTCCAGAGGAGGCAGGTGGCTGGCCCGAGGTGGCAGAGTGAGCTCACGTCTGGGACCCTGTGAGTTCCCTGATACCGAGCCGGCTTTGGTTGCCCGAGTCCAATGTGTTGTGATGAAATAAATGGCCGAGTCTTGCGTGTGATGGAGTGGTGAGAAGGGACATTCCCGCCGAAACCGGTGTGGCCTAGTGGATAGAGCGTCGGCCTGAGGACTGAAGGGTCCCGGGTTCCATTCCGGTCAAGGGCATGGACCTTGGTTGCAGGCGCATCCCCGGTGCGGGGTGTACAGGAGGCAGCTGATCCATACTTCTTTCTCATCCATGTTTCTAACTCTCTGTCTCTCTCCCTTCCTCTCTGTAAAAAATCAATAAAATATGTTGGGGGAAAAAAAGTGATTTTCCTTCTGTTTTCTTCTTTTCTTTGTTTTTTGTAACTAGTTCAATTATATTTATATTTCCAAGACAGATGGGTAGTCCTAAAGGCTCACATCTAACCATGGAAGATCGATGTCCATGGTTAAAGGGCAGGATCGATGACTTAGGGGAAGTAAAAACAATACAACTAATTAGCAAAGAATGTTTCATTGCATTAGTAATTAAAGAAGTGCCAGTCAGAAGTGAGGTTCTTTGCCTCTTAGACCCCCACATTTTAAATTTTCCAAACATTTTATTTTTCAATTACAGTTGTCATTCAATATTATCCTACTTTTGGGTGTACAGTGTAATGGTTAGACAATTATATGATTTGGTAGAGACCCGGTGCACGAGATTTGTGCACAGAGAGGGGGGTGTTTGTGTCTCTCAGCCCAGCCTGCATGCTCTCCAATCTGGGACATCCCTCACGCAATTCAGGACTGCTGGCTTCCAACCGCTTGCCTGCCTGCCAGCCTGATATCCCCCCCCCAACCACTCCCCTGCCAGCCTGATTGACACCTAACTGCTCCCCTGCTGGCCCGATTGCCCCTAACTGTAACTAATTTTTTACAGACAGGAAGGGAGAGGGATAGAGAGCCAGAAACATCGATGAGAGAGAAACATCAATCAGCTGCCTCCTGCACACCCCCCTCCTGAGGATGTGCCCACAACAAAGTAAGTGCCCTTGACCGGAATGGAACTCGGGACCTTTCAGTCCGAAGGCCGATGCTCTATCCACTGAGCCACACCGGTTTTGGCACTGATAAGTGTTTTGAAGAAAAAGTGACCAAGCCACTAGGGCAGGAGCTTGCCAAGCAAGGGGAAGCCCTAAGTATCTCCTGTTGGAGGAGCTGCAAGAGTGGGGCAGTGTGATTTGAGCAGAATGAGCAACAGGGGAAGAGGTGGGAGGTGAGGTGAAAAGGCCAGGCTGGCCGGGACCCACAGGCCGCCCAGCCGGTGCGTGGCCTTTGAGTCTCATCTGGTGTGAGATGTGGTATCCTGTGGTGAAAAGCCTTGAGAGAGGGAGTGCTCTGATCAGATTTACAATTTTAAAAATATATTTTATTGACTTTTTACGAGAGGAAGGGAGAGAGATAGTTAGAAACAGATGAGAGAGAGTCATGGATCAGTTGCCTCCTGCACACCCCCTACTGGGGATGTGCCCGCAACCAAAGTACATGCCCTTGACCGGAATTGAACCCGGGACCCTTCAGTCCCCAAGCCGACGCTCTATCCACTGGCCACACCGGTTTTGGTGGATTTACATTTTTAGAAGCTCACTCTGGCAGCTGCTTGGAAATTAAATTAGACCGGAGAGGTGTCAGATGGGCAGCGGGAAGTTGAATGAAGAGGCTTCTGCAGCTGAAACTGGTTTAGCTCAGGGGATAGAGTGTTGGCCTGCGGACTGAAAGGTCCCAGGTTCGATTCCGGTCAAGGGCATGGACCTTGGTTGCGGGCACATCCCCAGTGGGGGGTGTGCAGGAGGCAGCTGATGGATGCTTCTCTCTCATCAATGTTTCTAACTCAATCCCTCTCCCTTCCTCTCTGTAAAAAATCAATAAAATATATTTTAAAAAAGTTTCCAATAAAGAAGGAATTGGCACCTATGTTAAATGCTGCTGAGAGCTGGGCTAGAATAAAGACATTGGATTACTGATTTTGGCGACCTGGGGACTGTTGGTAACCCTGCCAGGAGTGATGGCAGCAAACTGAATGGAGTGGATTGGGGGGTGAGAATATAGGTGGGAAACAGTTGACATCTAGATAAATAATCCTCCCGACTTTTGTTGCCAAGAGGAACAGAAAAATGGCGTGGTGGCTGACAGAGACCTGGGGTTAGCTATTCCTCAGGGTCTGGTCTTAACTTCTTTTTGCCAGGGCAGTGGTCGGCAAACTCATTAATCAACAGAGCCAAATATCAACAGCAAACGATTAAAAAATTTTTTTTGAGCTGGGACTGGTTTGGCTCAGTGGATAGAGCGTCGGCCTGCGGACTGAAAGGTCCCGGGTTCGATTCCGGTCAAGGGTATGTACCTTGGTTGCGGGCACATCCCCAGTGCGGGGTGTGCAAGCGGCAGCTGATCGTTGATTCTCTCTCATCGATGTTTCTAACTCTTTATCCCTCTCTCTTCCTCTCTGTGAAAAATCAATAAAAAATATATTAAAAAAAAAAAAGTAACCGCTATAAAAAAAAAATTTTTTTTTGAGAGCCACATTTTTTTTTTTTTACAGAGGGGAAGAGAAGAGAGGGATAGAGAGTCAGAAACATCGATGAGAGAGAATCATCGATCAGCTGCCTCCTGCACACCCCCACCTGGGGATGTGCCCGCAACCAAGGTCCATGCCCTTGACCGGAATCGAACCCGGGACCCTTCAGTCCACAGGCCGACGCTCTATCCACTGAGCCACACCGGTTTCGGCGAGAGCCACATTTTTTAAACTTAAACTATATAGGTAGGTACATTGTTATTAACTTAATTAGGGTCCTCCTAAGCTGGCCTCTGCTAAAAACTCAAGGGGCCAAAAAGCCGCATATGGCTCGAGAGCCGCAGTTTGCCGACTACTGTCCCAGGGGCATCACCCCCTCCTCAACTCCCCCCCCCATCCCCTAATGTTGTCAGGGTCAGGTCCAGACCCGATTTCCAACTGGACATTCACAAAGGTCTAGTCCTCACGCAGATGGACGTGCCAGTAATAAAAATGAGTGCTTGCTGTATGCCACCTAAGCACCTTATGGGAACTCACTTAAATTTCAGAACAGTCTCTAAGACAGGCACACTTCTTAGTATACCCTATGTTAGTCAGCTTTGTCACAATTAACGGTAAAGTACCCAAAAACTCAGGGGCTTAAAAAAAATGATATATTTTTGCTCAGTGGGTCAGTTGGGGTTGGATCCAAGCTGTCATTTGGTCCTAGTCTGGTGCACCTGTTTCTTAATCTTTTGGGACCAATCATGATGGTTCTCTCAACTGAAGGGTTCTGGCATTACAGGGAAGGCCACGTGGCGATTTGCTGTGTGTGTGTGTGTGTGTGTGTGTGTGTGTGTGTGTGTGACTTGCTTTTTAAAAAAGGCCTGCCGAAACCGGTTTGGTTCCGTAGTTAGAGCGTCAGCCTGCGGACTGAAGGGTCCCGGGTTCGATTCCCAGTCAGGGCACATGCCTGGGTTGCAGGCTCAATCCCCAGTACAGGACGTGCAGGAGGCAGCCGGTCAATGATTCTCTCTCATCATTGATGTTTCTCTCTCCCTCTCCCTTCATCTCTGAAATCAATATAGAAATATATTTAAAAAAAAAAGAAAAAAAAGAATAAAAGGAGACAGTGTGTGTACAAGGGCCATGCAGCTCTGCAAAGTTTGAAGCATGTTTCGGGTTTTCAGTTTGCTCATTGTCTTTCTTTTTTTTTTTTTTAAATATATTTTATTGATTTTTTTACAGAGAGGAAGAGAGAGGGATTGAGAGCTAGAAACATCGATGAGAGAGAATCATTGACCAGGTGCCTCCTGCACACCTCCTACTGGGGATGTGCCCACAACCAAGGTACAAGCCCTTGACCGGAATCGAACCTGGGACCTTTCAGTCCGCAGGCTGACGCTCTATCCGCTGAGCCACACCGGCTTTGGCTGCTCATTGTCTTTTAAACCTATCCCTCCGAGGCTTCACGTTGATATCTGAAACCTCACTGACCATCTCTGCAATTTCTCTTGCTTTCCAGATTTCTGTATTCAGATGAAGTTCAGATTGGCCCGGAAACAGTGATGACCACTCTGTATACGGCTAAGAAGTACGCAGTGCCAGCCTTGGAGGCACACTGCGTGGAATTCCTCACCAAACATCTGAGGGCAGATAACGCCTTCATGCTGCTTACCCAGGTGAGTCCACGTGACTAAGGCATGTACCATCGCAGCTTGAAAAACTGCGTGTAACTATACAGCGGAACCACGTTTCTCCAACTGAATTCATTGCAGAAGGCTGTCAGAGAAGCGATTTGTTTGAAAATGAAATCATTTTTTCCCATTAGAAATGATGTAAATTGGATTCATCCGTTCCAGGCTCCCAAATGATGCCCTGTTTCAATCTTTCTTATAGATAGTACATGTATAATGTACTGTTTAATCCTATATGATAGTCGAAACCGATTTGGCTCAGTGGATGGAGCGTCGGTTTGCAGACTGAAGGGTCCCGGGTTCGATTCCGGTCAGGAGCATGTACCTTGGTTGCGGGCACATCCCCGGTGTGGGGTGTTTGGGAGGCAGCTGGTCGATGTTTCTCTCTCATTGATGTTTCCAACTCTCTATCCCTCTCTGTAAAAAATCAATAAAATATATTAAAAAACAAAACAAAACCCCCATAGCAGCCTTGCTAGTTCAGTCAGTACAATAGAAAGTACTTACTATTTTCAGCAGACTCAGAGGTGGGGCCTGAGAGCCTGCGTTGCTAATGGCTTCCGGATTCTGCTAGTGTTTCTGGCCGCACCTTGAGCTTCCAGGGCTGACAAAGATCACCACAGGACAGAGAAGGAACGTCTCAGGGCCTCGCTGGTCTGAGAGCCCAATGTCACCCACGCTTTTCATTGGTGGGGTCACATGACTTATCCGGCACACTGTCATGTGAGCTGCTTGCTCCTGCCAAGTGAGTCATTTGAACCGAGCCGGTTCATTTCCTGGAAAAGACCCAGCTTCACTCCACACAAAGGGCCAGTGTGCCATGCCAGCATGGTTTGCACAGGGAAAACCCTTGTGATGAACTGATACGATCGCAGTGATGTTTACCAGAGAGCATGCCAAACTCTTAAGTAGCAGCAATGGATTCCATAGGAAACGTGAGATTGCCTGTATAATCTGAGTGACCGAAGGATTGCAACTCTAGTTAAAGTAATTTTTACAAAAACTTGTTTTCCCTAGAGTGAAAGCTGAATTAAAAAAAAAAAAAAATTTGATTTTTTTACGAGAGGAAGGGAGAAGGATTGGGGACTAGAAACATCAATGAGAGGGAAACATCCATCAGCTGCCTCCTGCACACCCCCCACTGGGGATGTGCCTGCAACCAAGGTCCATGCCCTTGACCGGAATCGAACCTGGGACCCTTCAGTCCACAGGCCGACGCTCTATTCACTGAGCCAAACTGGTTAGGGCTAAGTAGGCGTTTTTATATAATCAGCAATTACAACTGTATATAGTATCAACTTTGAATATACACAGCCTGAGGTTGAAGAAATAATGGAAACAAAATAATTGTTTTTATATGTTTAGGCTCGACTGTTTGATGAACCTCAGCTCGCTAGTCTTTGTCTCGATACGATAGACAAAAGCACAATGGATGCGATAAATGCAGAAGGGTTTACTGATATTGACATAGGTAAGTTCACACAGAATTAAATTTTACCTGTAAGTACTTAGTGCCTTACCAGTCAGCTTGGTGGCTAAGCTGTATTTTGATTAGTGGTTTCTTCCACATGATCTATGTGTACCACTTTAAGAATTTTACTTACTTTATTTTGGTGAGATGTTCCTAAAAGTCTTATCTAATTCATTGCCTTTTAAAAGATGTCAAAGGAAATAAATATTCATTGACTGTTCACATATGCATGGCATTATATACTAGGTCCTGTAAAAAAAAAAAAATACAAAGACGGGTAAGATACACTTTTCTTTATATATATATTATTGATTTTTTACGGAGAGGAAGAGAGAGGGATAGAGAGTTAGAAACATCGATGACAGAGAATCATCGATCAGCTGCCTCTTGCACACCCCCTACAGGGGATGTGCCCGCAACCAACGTACATGCCCTTGACCGGAATCGAACCTGGGACCCTTCAGTCCGCAGGCCGACGCTCTATTCACTGAGCCACACCGGATTTGGCAATGCACTTTTTCTCAAGAAAACTATCATCTAATTAGAGAATCAAGGGAACAAATATGTGGAAGTTAAGATTTAAGACATTAACAAAAGAGATGACAAAGAACAAAAAGTGATTTTTTTTTTTTTGCCTTTTCTGAACTAGATATATAGAAAATAATTACAATGCAAATTCAGAACATGAGGAGGTTGCCTCAAACTGGCGTTGAGTTAGGCAGGTCTTGACAGAGGAGGTTCCGGTAATGACTTTGTCTAAGGAAGAGGAGAGGGCGGGAGAGACAAGGAGTGCCACATGAAGACGCGTAGAGGAAGGGAAAGGCAGGTTAAACAAATATGTGATTCTACAATGAATGCGTAAGGTCACTGCAGAGTATAATTTTAAAAAATAGAGTCTATAGTTTTAAGGATCACCTATTTTTCTTGAGGTTTGAAAACTTCATAAGAAGCAAGTTGGTTTGTATTGTTCTGTTAAAGAGCAAGCTATTTATTTATTTATTTATTTATTTATTTATTTATTTATTTCCTGTAGACACACTGTGCGCAGTTCTGGAAAGAGACACACTTAGTATTCGAGAAAGCCGGCTCTTTGGAGCTATTGTCCGATGGTCAGAAGCAGAATGTCAGCGACAGCAGCTGCCTGTGAGTTTTGAAAACAAACAGAAAGTCCTAGGAAAGGCGCTGTCCCTGATCCGGTTCCCACTGATGACCATTGAGGAGTTTGCCGCGGGTAAGGCATAACTGGACCAAAGTCCTGCTTTTAAAAATGTATTTTTATTGATTTCAGAGGGGAAGGTAGAGGGGGAGAGAGAGAGAAACATGCATGATGAGAGAGAATCATTGATCGGCTGCCTCCTGCATGTCCCCCACTGGGGATTGAGCCCGCAACCCTGGCATGTGCCCTTGACTAGAGGTAAACCTGGGACCCTTCAAGTCCGCAGGCCGATGCTCTATTTACTGAACCGAACTGGCCAGGGCGACCAGAGTCTATTAAAAACTGTTTTAATGGTTAGTTGCCAGTCTCCCTATGTGAGAGGAAAATAAGGTATTAATTACTGAGGACTGGTCACTCTTCTATAATTGTGTCTATAATTTTACCCAGTGCATGAAATTCGTGTACAGATAAGGTCCCTAAGACTGGCCGGCAATCAGGACCGATCTGCGGGGCAACCAGGAGGGCCCCGCAGACTGCTTCCCCGTTCCAATCAGGGCCTGGGGGCTGGGGCAGCTCCTGTATTGAACGTCTGCCCCCTGGTGGTCAGTGCGCATCATAGCGACTGGTTGTTCCCCCGATTGGTTGATTTGCATGTTAGGCTTTTAGTATATAGGGTGTATATAGTATATAAAGTACTAGCCCTTTAAGATAATATTCTTAATTTTCTTAAATTTCCATTTCATAATAAAACAGTATTTATTGACCTTCCCTATTTTAAGACAAGAATGTTAGGATGGTGTGTCTTCCTTCAGCCTTTCCAGACCACTTTATGGTACCTGATTTTCTCCCCTCTCTCTTCCTCTCCCTCTCCATACTAAAATAATACAATTACACATAATTCTAGGTTGTTTTGCTTTTAGTACTCATCACCAGTTCTTTTAGGAGAGAATTTCTTAAGTTGCTTGTTTTGACTAATCTTGTGTTAACTGGCCTGTCTCTGACAACTTATCTTAGGTATATAGTTAACTGCTACATGTCTGAGAATGTTTTTCATGACCTGAAGACTTTCTCAACAAAGCAAATTTTATTATAGTCTTGAATTATGAAATCTTATTGTTAGTTCCTTGGGAACATTAGTAGTGTTTAAAAATCAGGGTTTTTCATTAAAGTCTGAATTTATGGCTTCCTAAACCAAATTTCTAGTTTATCACATTGCTTTTTTTAGTTTAAAAATTTATAATTTAGCCAAAACCAGTTTGGCTCACTGGATAGAGCGTTGGCCTGCGGACTGAAAGGTCCCGGGTTCGATTCTGGTCAAGGGCATGTACATTGGTTGTGGGCACATCCCCTACTGGGGATGTGCCCATAAAAAATATATATATATTTAAAAAATATATTTTTAAAATATATTAAAAAATATAAAAATTTATAATTTAGTTTTGTAGTCTCTTATTTAGGATTTTAAAAAAATATATATTTTATTGATTTTTTACAGAGATGAAGGGAGAGAGATAGAGAACTAGAAACGTCAATGAGAGAGAAACATCGACCAGCTGCCTCTTGCACACCCCCTACTGGGGATGTGCCCACAACCAACGTACATGCTCTTGACTGGAATCGAACCCTGGACCTTTCAGTCCGCAGACCGATGCTCTACCACTGAGCCAAACCAGTTTCGGCTTATTTAGGTTGTTTGAAACCAGCCTGGGGAGCGGCCTTTATTTACTCTTGGATAAGCTGAAGCTGTTTGGAACTTTCTTTCCTCAGAAACATTGTTTGGGGAGACTGAGATATATGATATGCTTCCCCAGCCCTTCCCATTTTAGCTCCTGCCCTCCTGATTTCTGAACCCCACAATGAAAGCACTATCCTATTTCCACTACTAAATATATTCCATTGTTCAGATTATAACCTCAGACAGGTGTTAGGTGGGGAACGGAGAAGGGACGTTGGCTCTGGCTACCCTTGTGAGCGTGTCTAACCTTCCCTCCCCCCACCCCCTCCTGCATAGAGAATGGCTCTTTCTGGTAAACGAAAGTCAGAGGAAGGGAGTGGATAGAAAAATCCAGGCTTTCATCAGAGCTCTGATTTATTAACGATTTTTAAAACATTTTATTGAGAGAGACAGAAACTTCAATGATGAGAAATTTAAAATTTTTTACAGAGAGGAAGGGAAAGGGATAGAGAGCTAGAAACATCGATGAGAGAGAAACGTCGACCAGCTGCCTCCTGCACACACCCTTGCTGGGGATGCACTCGCAACCAAGGTACATGCCCTTGACCGAAATCGAACTCGGGACCTTTCTAACCACTGAGCCACACCGAGCCACAGACAGACGCTTTAACCACTGACCCACACCGAGCCACAGACCGACGCTCTAACCACTGAGCCACACCGGTTCCTGCTATTCATGATGTTAACTCATACGTTTCATTAGGTCAGCCTCAAATGGATTTACGTCTGTATTTCTGCAGGGCCTGCTCAGTCTGGGATTTTGTCAGATCGTGAAGTGGTGAATCTCTTTCTCCACTTTACCGTCAATCCTAAACCCCGAGTGGACTACATCGACCGGCCGCGGTGCTGCCTCCGCGGGAAGGAATGCTGCATCAACCGGTTCCAGCAGGTGGAGAGCCGCTGGGGCTACAGTGGGACCAGCGATCGAATCAGGTATCTGTCACACTGGTCCCCACTCCACGGTGGGCTGGGCGGCTCTTCTCCCCATTATCAACCAACATCTCATTTTATGCTGTACGCATCACACAGGCACATGGCTGATGGAATGTGTGCATAGTTTCCATCTGTGTCTGATGGCAGTGTCTGTCTGTGTTTTGCATTCAGATTTTGCTGTCCACACAAACATCACGCAGCCAAAGATTAAGTTGGGATCATAGTACTGGTCTGGTGTTGTCTCGTTGGACATAATTTACCACTGGCCAGCCTCCAAATTCCCATACAGAACTTTGTGAATAGAGGGAGTGTATAGCTTTTGGAAATTTAAGATATCTATAATAACTCACTGCATTTTTTTTTAAAGTAAAATAAAATTAAAAAAAAAAGAATCACGCAGGCTTGATTCTATGGATGAGCTGAGGTCGAGACATTGATTGGTCAGACACTGTGGCTTAGGGCTGTAATTTATTTAATATTTAATCTTACTCTGTTTAGTGTGAGTTTTTTTTTCTTTGCACAGACATTGCATGGGAAATATCTCAGTATAGAAAAAAAAAGAAAAAAGAAAATACCTCCAGAAAATATCTCCGTATACATTTATAAAAGCTTTGTAAGGAGAAATAATCTTAAAAGATTCAGGTGTATAATCCTGTTAGGAAAGTTATCTTTATTTTGTTGCATTTCTTTAGGTTAAATGTCAAAATTGACATAAGTACCAGTTTTCCCAAAACATGCCTTTGGATTTTCACTTATTGAAGAGCAGTTTTATATAAAACTAGGAACTCATAACAAGTTTGTCGAATATGGGACTCCCAGGGAGAAAGGACCCTTTAAATAATTGGAATAAGATGGAAATTAAAAACATTTGTGAATTACTTAGCAATCATTCACAATGAGAATACTGTATCTGAAACTCATAATAAAGGCCAAAGCAGACAAAATATTACAAAAAGAAACAGTCATAAAATTACTTTTACTAAATAAATTATAGTAGAAATCATTTAAGCATTCAACTCAAGTAGCTAGAAAATGAATAGAAAAAAAAGCAAAAGAGCCGAAGCCGGTTTGGCTCAGTGGTAGAGCGTCAGTCTGTGGACTAAAAGGTCCCAGGTTCGATTCCGGTCAAGGGCATGTACATTGGTTGCGGGCACATCCCCGGTAGGGGGTGTGCAAGAGGCAGCTGGTCGATGTTTCTCTCTCATTGACATTTCTAGCTCTCTATCCCTCTCTCCTCCTCTCTGTAAAAAAATCAATAAAATATATTTTTAAAAAAAAAAAAAAAAGAGAGAAAGGAGATAGGTAAATATAGAAATGAATGAATTAAAAGTAATAGGATTGATAAAACCATAAACTGGCTCCTTAAAAAGGCCAATAAGATAAATAAACCTCTGGCAAAGGCAGTGAAGAAAACAAGCTTGCATTTAAAAATAATGGGAATATAATCAGATACTGCAAAGATTTTTACTTTAATTCTGGGTTTACTCTGTGCTAATACATTGAACGTCTTGATGGAATGGATCATTATTTATAGGCAAATATAATTTATCAAATTGACTGGAGAAGAAAGCCCATTACCACGGAAGGAATTAAAAGTTATCAAAGAACTGTCCCTTCACAAGGTGGTTTTTACAGGTGAGTTTTATCCAAACTTCAAGGAACAAATCGTTCCCTTGAGCATTCAAAGAAGAAAATGCTTATTTGGTTAATTATTGAAAGAACTATACCCCTCACAGAGGAATCTGACAAGACAAAAAATTTGTAGATCAGTCTCACTTACATAGAAGAAGAAATTCTATGTGAAATATTAATACCTTGGGAAAATAATACTGTATGAGCAAATAGAGTTTATTTGTAGATTGGAAGAATGGCTCAAATTAGGGAATATATTAATATAACTCACCACAGTAGCACATCAAAGAAGAAAAACAATTTGATGATTTCAGTAGTTGTCAAAAAGACTTTTGATAAACTTGCATCTTTGTTCCACATAGAATCATTAATACTAAAGAATACTGCTCATTTAAGATGATAGACTATTTTTAAATATATATATTTTATTGATTTTTTACAGAGAGGAAGAGAGAGGGATAGAGAGTTAGAAACATTGATGAGAGAGAATCATCGATCACCTGCCTCCTGCACACCCCCCACTGGGGATGTGCCCGCAACCAAGGTACATGCCCTTGACCGGAATCGAACCCGGGACCCTTCAGTCACCAGGCTGACACTCTATCCCTGAGCCAAACCAGTTTCGGCAAGGTGTTACACTATTAAAACCTCCAGAAAGGGATGCTCGCTAACCTTGCTGTTTTCAGCAGTGCTCAAGTCTCGTGGTTATAAACCCGTGTTTCACCACATGGATCTGACAGGACGCTTGAGCGCTGATTGGGTCGCTGTTTTGGGAGACTGTCCTATGACTGAAGTAAGTCGGTGTCCCTGCCCCGCCATCGGTGCCTTTTATAAAAACCAAAGCCGCCTTGTGGTTTTGGAGAACAACCTGTCCACCTGAACAGCCTCGGCACCGATAAAAATAAATGTATTAGAACCAATAAAAGAATAGTGCCACTTATGATGTGTGCACGCAGAGACCAATGATGTTCCTATATGTCATCCACATTCAGTTATGGGTGTTTGATTTGATTGACAACAATGTGAATGTACTTAATGACACTGAGTCCTACAACTACCAGTAAAATGGTTAAGATGGTATATTTTGTTACATATTTTGCCACAATAAAAAAATTTTAAGATGTTTACATTTTCAGTTTCAGTATTAAGTAAAAACAGATTCCACTTGAAATAGTAACAAACGCCCGGCTGGTGTGGCTCAATGGTTGAGCGTTGACCTACGATCCAGGAGGTCATGGTTTGATTCCTGGTTCAGAGCACCTACCTGGGTTACAAGCTCATTTCCAATAGGGTGTGTGCAGAAGGCAGCCAATCTATAATTCTCTATCATCACTGATATTTCTGTCTCTTTCTCCCCTCCCCTTCCTCTCTGAAATCAATAAAAATATATTTAAAAAAATAGTAATACATAACAAAGTAATGGGATTAAATCCTATAAGAAGTGAACAGCGTAGCACCTTTATAAAGAAATGGAGAGCTTTGACTGGACTCAGTGTCTTTCCAAACTAACTAGTGTAATCAGAAATCACATGTTTTATTGGGGAAGACCTGGCAAAATTATCCTAAAGGTTATCCAGAAGAGTGAATGGTTATCTGGAAGATAAATGGTTCCTTTTTAAAAATGAGTGGTATGGGTCAAACATAAAACTATAATTCGTTAGTGTTGTATGGAAGATACTATGGAGTTTAGAAACTAACCCAACAAAATGAGCATCTGAGGGAAAGATTAACGACCAGGAAAATAAAGTTAGATCCTTACTAATTCCATCTACCAATAATCGTATAAATTAAAATTTTAACATTACAAATCAAAGCCATGAAAATGCTGGAACAGGGACAGAGGGAGGGATAGGCCTCTTTAAACTTGGCATAAATCATAATTTGGCTACAAAGAATTAAAAAATTTTATGTCCAAAACCAACATATAGTCAAAAGATAAATGGCAAACGGGAACCTTTTTGTCATGGATATTACTGACAAAGCATAAGTAACTATATCACATAGTCTTTCAGAGAAAAATGGGGAAAGAACATGAGTGAGTAGTTCATTAAAGAAAATCTAGTAGACGGTCAGCATATGAACAAATATATCAACTCATTAATAAAGCAATATGAATAGAATGTGTTCATCAATTTCTCAGCGACAAAAAGAAATGGAAATAGCCATGGTTGTTAGGAGTGAGGTAGAAATGATTTTAATTTCATGTATATGTAGAGTGTTGTAATCAATTTGATAATGTTTAGCTAACGCCTTAAGAACATGCCTTTTATTCCTTTCCGGCCGGAACCGCCATCTTCCAGGTCGGCCCTGCGCGTGGCTCCCAGTGGCCGTGGTTCCACAGACTAATTCGCCAAAATGCTAACACAAAGGGAGAGAGGAGAGGCACCCGCTATATGGTCTCTAGGCCTTTTAGAAAACACGGAATTGTTCCTTTGGCCACATACATGCGAATCGACAAGAAAGGTGTATTGTGGACATGAAGGGAATGGGCACCAAGGGACGTCCCGCCAATGTTACCATGGCAACACTGGAAGAGTCTACGATGTCACCCCGCATGCAGTGGGCATTGCTGTGAACAAGCAAGCCAAGGGCAAGGTTCTTGCCTAGAGAATGAACGTACGTAGTGAGCATAGTAAGCCTCTGCGAGCCGAGATAGCTTCCTGAAACGTGTGAAGGAGAAATGATGGAAAAAGGAGGAAGCCAGAGAGAAAGGTACCAGGGTTCAATTGAAGCGCCAGCCTGCTCCACCCAGAGAGGCATGCTCTGTGAGAACCAATGGAAAGGAGCCTGAGCTGCTGGAACCCATTCCCTATGAATTCATGGCATAAGTGGGGGAAAATAAAGACTTCTGTGCTGATAATGTTTATTTTAATTGAGTGGAAGTGTGGCTTTCCCCCCCACACCCCCAAAGAATAATTCAAAAAAAAGTTTGTGCCAAAACCGGTTTGGCTCAGTGGTAGAGCGTCGGTCTGTGGATTGAAGGGTCGCGGGTTCGATTCCGGTCAAGGGCATGGACCTTGGTTGCGGGCATATCTCCGGTGGGGGGTGTGCAGGAGGCAGCTGATCGATGTTTCTCTCTCATCGATGTTTCTGGCTCTCTATTTCTCTCCCTTCCTCTCTGTAAAAAAATCAATGAAATATATTTAAAAAAAAAAAAAAAAAAAAAAAGTTTGTGTTACCCTAACTGGTTTGGCTCAGTGGATAGACCTTCGTCAGCCTGCGAACCTAAGGGTTCCGGTTTCAATTCCAGTCAGGAGCATATACCCAGGTTGTGGGCTCAATCCACCGTAGGGGGGGGTGTGCAGGAGGCAGCCAATCAATAAAAAGAAAACTTTGTGCCCTAAAAACAAAATAAAGAAAAAAAAGAAAAGAAAAAAAGATAATGCCTTTCATTTTCCCCAGTGTTTCTATTTCCAGGAATTTATTCTCAGGCATAATTAAGACTATAAAATGATCTTCAGGGCATCCTATATAATAAAAGGCTAATATGCAAATTATCCCCTTGACCCAGAGTTCAGGAGTTTGACCAGGGGGCGGGGCTGGCCCATCAACCACCTGCGTCCCCTCCCCCGGCTGGCCTGGCCCGATTGGCCCCATCGGGGCAAGTTGGCCATGCACAAATTCGTGCACCGGGCCGCTAGTTGTTACATAATAACATACCCTGCTGTATTATCTAACAAGCGAGGGTTATTAAATAGAATGAATTGGTCTAACTTTTACCTTTATATGAAAAAGAAGATATAAAAATATGTGTATTCTGACATGATTTTAAAAATCATAATACCTATAATAATAAAAGCATAATATGCTAATTAGACCGGACATCTTTCCGGGCTACCTGCTGGATGAAGAGGGAAGTCTGAGTCCCTGGTGCCAGCCGGTCCTGGATGCCGGCCGGTGCCCGAGGGAAGCCCGGGTCCGGGAGCCAGAGGGAAGCTGGTGCGGCCAGCCGGGGGAGGGAAGGCCTGCTCTTGCACACATTTTGTGCACCGGGCCTGTAGTACATACATATTCATAGAAAAGAATTTTTCTTACTTAACAAAAGAATGAAAAGGGAACGTGCCAGAGGATAAATGGGGGTTTCTCTCTGGTGGATTCAGGGATCTTAACTATTTTTCCTCTTGTTTAACTGCATTTTTTATTTTTTGAAAAAGAGACTTATATTGCTTTGATTTTTTTTTTTTAATAAGAAAATAATGTAGAGATAAGACATTAAAAGTTGGTCCAGGTAGTCCTCATCTGTCCTGGAAGTATAACATAGCAGTAAAAAGGGGGCTTTAGCAGACACCTGGATCTGCCCCAGGCAAGTTGGTTTCTCTAAACGTCTGTTTCTTCAACTAGAAAAACAGCGGGTAATAAAGTAATACTGTGTTACTTAGTTTATAGAGCTGTTATGATGATTAAAGGAAGTAATTCATGTAAAGAACTGAAGTTCAGCCATAACCGGTTTGATTCAGTGGATAGTGCGTCGGCCTGCAGACTGAAAGGTCCCAGGTTCGATTCCGGTCAAGGGCATGTACCTTGGTTGCAGGCACATTCCCAGTGGGGAGTGTGCAGGCGGCGACTGATGGGATGTTTCTCTCTCATTGATGTTTCTGGCTTTCTGTCCCTCTCCCTTCCTCTCTGTTAAAAAAAAAAATCAATAAAATATATTTAAAAAAATCTTTAAAAAAATGTATGAACCTTTAGAACAGGGGCGGGGTAGGGGGGACCTTTTTTCTGCAAGGCCATTTGGATATTTATAACATCATTCGTAGATCATATAAAATCATCAACTTACAAATTAGCCTGCTCTACTTGGTCAAACATTTAATTAACTCCCCCTGATGCCTTGGCAGGGCCGGACCCAATGATTTCTCGGGCCTTCGTGGCCCCCGGGCCAGACGTTCCCCACCCCTGCTTTAGGACATAGCTTTTGTACTGAGTCATGTATGTTATTTTATATCTGGTTCATTCTCTCAGGTTCACAGTTAACAGAAGAATCTCTATAGTTGGATTTGGTTTATATGGATCTATTCATGGCCCCACGGATTATCAAGTGAACATACAGGTATACTTCACCCTCCCACTATCTGCCATCTTGAAGTAAACTGTCATCTTGCCGTAAGATATTGTTTTGACAAAACCCAAATTCCGGTATAATTATCAAAGGAATCAGAAAGCCTCTGAGTGGCATTTTAAGCCCAGAGAGTCCTGTTTTACAATTGATCTAAAAAATCTGGTTTCAGAAAAGTGGATTCCTGCCGAAACCGGTTTGGCTCAGTGGATAGAGCGTTGGCCTGCGGACTGAAAGGTCCCAGGTTCGATCCCGATCAAGGGCATGTACCTTGGTTGCGCGCACATCCCCAGTAAGGGGGGTGCAGGAGGCAGCTGACCATTTCTCTCTCTTCGATGTTTCTAACTGTAAAAGATCAATAAAATATTAAATAAATAAATAAAATCCATACATTAAAAACACTGTTGCTAAGCCATATATCTTCAACGGAAGCTCCTTTCTCCTGCAGCCACACCCGTTATCTGACATCTCTCATCCTGGCAGCATGTCTAACGCCATCTTTTTGGCGGTTAGAGACGAGGATAGAAAAGTGACTGCACAGAGCTGTAGAGGGCTCTTCTGCCGTCCCTGAGGGCTTTATAAAATCCTTCCCTAAGAAACTTTGTCTTCGTTGGTCTAGCTTCAGTGGAATTCTCTTTCGGAAATTACAGATCATCGAATACGAGAAGAAACAAACCTTGGGACAGAACGATACCGGCTTCAGCTGTGACGGGAGCGCGAGCACGTTCAGGGTCATGTTCAAGGACCCTATCGAGATCCTGCCCAACGTGTGCTACACCGCATGCGCCACCCTCAAGGTCAGTCGCGGGAGGGTCCTGGATGGGGACACGGGGGCCCGGGTTCCTCCTGCGTGTCAGAGCTGGTGATGGGAAAGCCTCTCAGGACGGGGAGGGAGAGCCTCTGGGAATGAGGTGCCTCTCAGCACAGCTCTGCTCACACAGCAATGGTCCATCAGACGTAGATCTTTGGGCAGGAGAAAAAGTGTTTGCCAGAAATAAATTGAAACAGCTATTTAAAGACATTTTATTTTACTTTATTGATTTAAAAAATATATATTTTATTGATTTTTTTACAGAGAGGGAGGGAGAGGGATAGAGAGTTAAAATCATCAATGAGAGAGAAACGTTAATCAGCTGCCTCCTGCACACTCCCTGGGGATGGGCCCATAACCAAGGTACATGCCCTTGACCAGAATCGAACCTGGAACCCTCGAGTCCACAGGCCCATTAAGCCAAACCGGTTAGGGCTCTTCCACTTATTCATGCATTCATTGGTTGCTTCTTGTATGTGCCTTGACTGGAGATAGAGCCTGCAACGTTGGTGTATCAGTATGACACTATGATGGCCAGGGCATAACTCTTTTCTTTCCTTTTTTTAATCCTCACCTGAGGATATTTTTCCATTGACTTTTAGAGAAAGTGGAAGAGAGAGGGAAAGATAGAGAGAAACACATTGATTGGTTGCCTCCTGCACGACCCCCAACCAGGGCCTGGGGTGGGGAGGAGCCTGCAACCGAGGTACATGCCCTTGACCAGAATGGAACTCGGGACCTTTTGGTCCACAGACTGATGCTCTATCCACTGAGCCAAACTGGCTATGGTCGGAATAATTTTATTAAAACCATTTCACTATTCTCTAATAGCTGAGCTCTCTATTCAGTTATTTTGATCATTAATTAGCTTTGTAGCAACAATACCATTTTCATTAAATGGCTTGGCATAAAATTTTATACAGGAGCTATAAGGTAACATAGTAAGTAGGTCATCAATCGAATTAAAACACTATCTTAAATTGAACATTTATTTTTTTAAATTGGTTTTTGTCGTTTTTAAAAAAAAAAAAATATATATATATATTTTATTGATTTTTCACAGAGAGGAAGGGAGAGAGAGATAGAGAGCTAGAAACATCGATGAGAGAGAAACATCGACCAGCTGCCTCTTGCACACCCCCTACTGGGGATGTGCCCGCAACCAATGTACATGCCCTTGACCGGAATCGAACCTGGGACCTTTCAGTCTGCAGACCGACGCTCTACCACTGAGCCAAACCGGCTTCGGCTTAAATTGAGTGTTTATTAAAGGGAAATGACTAAAGGACCTTTTGTTCTCATTTAGGGTTCAGATTCCCACTATGGCACAAAAGGACTGAAGAAAGTCGTGCATGAAACATCTGCTAGCAAGACCGTTTTTTTCTTTTTCAGCTCACCTGGCAATAATAATGGCACTTCCATAGAAGACGGACAAATCCCAGAAATAATATTTTACACCTAATTTAGCATTCTAAAATATCCTGGCTAAATTGTACCATCCAGTCTAAATCAGCAGCATAAAAAGGACTGGCCACACAAAACATTTGAGTGTTATGAATATTTATGATTTTAAGATGAGAAAGTTTCTAAGAGGAGATAGAGAAATGTTTATTTAAATCTCTGCATCATTGAAAAGCAGATTTTCCATTTTCTTATAACCTTCGGGGAAAAGAAAACTGGATTTGTTTAAAAAACACACACAGCTCTTTCAGCTTTATCTTATATCATTTCATAAATCCAAGCCTGACTTGCGATCTTTCAAGAGTTTCATAATTGAAAGATTTTTGTTATATAGCTGGTTTGTTTTGTTTGAATTATTTTTTAAGGTTCTGTGAGATGACATGGGTCAGGTTCCTGTAGAATTCCTGTTCCTCTTAATTTCAGACAGTACGAAAACCGACCTTCTATTTGGAGTTTTGAAATACCTGTTTGTTAAACATTTGGAATATTGCTAGAAATAGGCCTTCTGAATGCCCAAGAAAATTTTTCAATGCTTTTACGATATTTTGTAATAGTAACGTGCTACACAGTACAGTTTTCAACTACAAATGGAGTTTGTACAAATTCAAGGTAACGGGATAAAATCGAGGATCTAAGGCAGAGTCTAAGATTCTTTACCACTGAACCACACCATTACACCTGTCTGTCTGTATGGAGAATTCTGCTGAGAGTCCCCAAGGTTGAGATGATGATGGTGATGGTGGTGAGTAGGTAAACACACTTAAGGTCAACACTTAAGGTGACAAGCTTACACAACACTTAAGCTGACAAGCTTACACAGCACGAAACAGAATGAAATACTAACATTTCTAACAACTACTTTGAAGTTTTAAAGATCTCCAGCATGTCACTCCTGCTGAAGTGACACCATACTCCGTCACCTACACACTTGTATCCAAGACGCCAAACATGTTTAATATTCATGGTCTCACAAATGTCATAGGAACAGCTGTAGTAGGAAGGATAAGACATCTATGTGGCAGAATGATATTTATACACTTTTTATAAAAGAGAATTTTTATATGAATGCCATTCTTTTTTTCTTCTGAAAGCAATTACCTTGTAAAAACATGTATCATTCATTAAGTGTGAGTTGTGAAAGGTGGTTAAAAATCACAAGTCAAAAAGTATCAGCTTACATAGGAGTAATTTTTTTCAAAGCATAGTAATGAGTGTGTAACATTTCTTTCGCTGTATTTCATGGTGTATTTATAAGAAGGTCGTGAGGTAGCATGTGGCAGAGGTCACTTGACTTTGCTGATAAAAAGGGGACTTTTTCTTCCCTTGTTTCATGACCTTAATGGTTCTAAACCTGAATTAACTGGAGTATCTGGGATGAGTGGTTCTGGTTAACCAGCAAACACTGCACCAGCCACTGTGGAAAACACTTCTGCCTTAAACAGGATGGCGTACTGGCGATAAGCTCATGTTTTTCAATGTTTGAGGCATTTCAAATGCCTCCCGTACGTTGCACTGAACAGTGATTGTAACTGAAGGTAGCTTTAGCGGAGGCGCAAGAAACGGGACTGTTTACTGATACGGGGCATCCCTGGAATTTTTAAAAAAATAAATATTATCCACTTATTTTTTTTTGGTCACTTGTCTCTTTTTCTTCTAAAAGTTCAGTATAGCCCTGACCGGTGTTGCTCAGTGGATAGAGCGTCAGCCTGCGGACTGAGGGGTCCCAGGTTCAATTTCAGTCAAGGGCACTTACTTTGGTTGTGGGCACATCCCCAGTCTGGGGTGTGCAGGAAGCAGCTGATGGATGTTCTTTGTAGGACTCCTCTACCCTCTGTCTTTACCATCCAGACATCTGGCAGGTACCGTTTATAACTCACCGTAGCAAGTGCTCCTTTTATTTCCATCACAACTGTCAAAGCTCTAATTGAGACTGTCATGACCTAATTTTATTTAATACAGATTCAGCTTTTGTGCCCCATTTCCTTTTTTTATTTTTTTTTATTATTATTTTTTTAAAATATATTTTATTGATTTTGTACAGAGAGGAAATGAGAGAGATAGAGAGTTAGAAACATCGATGAGAGAGAGAGTCATCGATCAGCTGCCTCTTGCACACCCCCTACTGGGGATATGCCTGCAACCAAGGTACATGCCCTTAACTGGAATCGAACCCGGGTCCCTTCAGTCCCCAAGCCGACGCTCTATCCATTGAGCCAAACCGGTCTCGGCCCATTTCCTTTTTTTAAAAGTTGTTAGAATGGGCCTTTATTTTCATGTTCTTGTATAATGAATATTAAATTTAATTGGTTTTCTTTGTTACTATTGTTTTTTTAATCCTTACCTGAGGATATTTTTCTATTTATTGTTTTAGAGATAGTGGAAGGGAGAGGGGGAGAGAGAGAGAAACACTGATGTGAGACACATCAATTGGTTGCCTTCTGCACACCTCCCACAGGGGATGTGCCCGCAACCAAGATACATGCCCTTGACCGGAATTGAACCTGGGACCCTTGAGTCTGCAGGCTGATGCTCTATCCACTGAGCCACACCGGTTTCAGTATCTCGCTGTGTTCTATTAAACCTCTTCATTTTCTACCCAATTTGATTTTTCCTTCTCCACTTTGACCTTTGATCACTAACTACATCAATAATTCAGAACCCCCTCACACCCACCCAGTAAATTCAATTGTCCATCTTTTTTTTTTTTTTTTTTTTTAACTTCCTGGCTGCTGGGTCCAAAATCTTCAAAATGATAGTGTACAGATTGGCGCCGTGATGATTTTATGGTCTCCCAAGTTCAGCTCGATCATTAGTGCAGGCAGGGGAGGGTTTCAGCAGTCAGCTCTTTGCCATCCTTCTGAGTTTCAAACTGTTATATCCTCCTAACACCTCCTTTCCTGTAGCTGATGCAGGAAGCTCCAGTTCCTCCCACCAAACCTATAAGCACACGTACGTGTGCACCGAGGCTGTCCATTTATGAAGAGAAAGTGTCTTGCCAAAACCAGTGTGGCCCAGTGGATAGAGCATCGGCCTGCGGACTCAAGGGCCCCAGGTTCGGTTCTGGTCAAGGGCATGTACCTTGGTTGCGGGCACATCCCAGTGCGGGGTGTGCAAGAGGCAGCTGATTGATGTTTCTCTCTCATCGATGTTTCTAACTCCCTTTCTGTAAATAATAAAATTTATATATAAAAAGAAATGTCTTGACTAAGGCTGCCTGTAGAAGTGTCACTCTCCTGTTGTGCTCAGAACCCCAGCCTCTGCCTCTGTTTACACCCCTTTCCCCTTCCTGGCTTCATTCCTATCAACATTGATAGGCTATCCCTATCTTATTAACTGCTATCCAGTTTTTTTTTTGTGTGTGTGTGTGTGTGTATGTGTGTGTTTTTCCTTCAAAAAGTCAATGTCATGTGCCCCTCCAGATAACAGTCAACTCCTTCACAGTGAAGTCAAATTACTCCCTGCCCCACCAGTGTTGCTCAGTGGTTGAGGGCCCCATTCCCACTAGGGGGCGTGCTAGAGACAGCCAGTTGATTCTCATGAGTATCCCTTTCTCGCTCTGAAATCAATAAAAACATTTAAAATTAAAAAAAAAAGTATTCCCTACACCTGTTAGCCTCTGCTCCTTACACTGCGGGAGCCTGAGCGCCTGGCACAAGGTGGGTGCTTCCTGCGCCCCATCCCAGGACAAGAGGGGCCCGGGCAGGCTCTGGAGGACCCAGGAGTCTTGCTCCCGCCGACCGACAGGTGTCGCTATCGCGCCGGAGCCTAGGCGAGGCTCCGGGGCCGCTGCGGCCCGCGTTGTGCGCAGGCGCAGAGGGCATTTCTGACGCCGACGCCCGCCCCGTGGTGTGCGCAGGCGCAGAGGGCGTTTCCGATGCCGACGCTCGCCCCGCGGTGTGCGCAGGCGCAGAGGGCGTTTCCGGCGCCGCTGCCCGGCCCGCCGCCTCAGCGGGAGGATGCTCCGGTTCCGCCGTGTGCTCAGGCCGCTCGGGGTCAGACCTGGCGCTCGGGCCTCCGCCCTGCTCCACGCGGGCGCCGAGATGCCGAAGAAAGCCGGTGCGACGAGCAAGGCCAGTAGCCAGTCCCGCGGCGGCGGAGGGGCGGGCGGGCGCGGGGGAGGAGCGGGCCTCGCGGGTGGGGCTCCTGGCGCCCTGCCCGCCGCCACCAGGGGGCTCCCTGGGCCATGTCTGCTGGGCCGCGGGTGGGTGTGTGTCGGGGGGCCCTCCCCCCCAGGAGGCTTTGTTCTGCGCCCTCCTCCTCACCCCTTCGGTCGGGGTCCCCTCTGCAGGGCGGACCCCGGGCGGTCCCCAAGACCCCGCCTCCAGTTGCCGGGGTGCCCCGGCCGGACAGCCCTCCTCCTCCCCCGGAAGTGACGCTCTGCGCGCGGTCCCTCCCTGCAGCCCGAGCTCCCAGGGGGCCTGCACCCCGCGCTCCCAGGGGGGCCTGCACCCCGAGCTCCCAGCGGGGCCTGCACCCCGAGCTCCCAGGGGGGCCTGCACCCCAAGCTCCCAGCGGGTCCTGCACCCCGAGCTCCCAGGGGGGCCTGAACCCCTGGGTCCTGACTCCCCTTCACACACAGCCTTTGCCTCCAGGCTGCCCGGTGCAGAGTTGTGTGCCAGCGAAAAGTTCTAGAACAACTAATGTTGCACGGCAGGCATTTTATTTTATTTTATTTTATTTTATTTATATTTTATTTAAAAAATATATATTTTATTGTGTTTTTTTTTTTATAGAGCGGAAGAGAGAGGAATAGAGTTAGAAACATTGATGAGAGAATCATCAATCAGCTGCCTCCTGCACACCCCCTACTGGGGATGTGCCCGCAACCAAGGCACATGTCCTTGACTGGAATCGAACCCTGGACCCTTCAGTCCGCAGGCCGATGCTCTATCCACTGAGCCACACCGGTTTCGGCGGGAAATGCTTTGTAACCTGTAAAGTTGTAGCGTGGTTGTTGTTGTCGTTTTAGGGCAAAAGCCAGAGCAAGGAGCCAGAGAAACCACTTTCTCCCCTAGGCCCCGTGGCAGTGGATGCCAAAGGCTGTGTCACCATAGCCATCCATGCCAAACCGGGTTCTAAGCAGAATGCCGTGACAGGTACCTCTGGACCCCGGGGCGGGCGCCCTGGGGGAGTCAGGGGTCCCCTCCCTCTCCCCTTTGCCCTGGTTCGTTGGAAGTTTATTTATCCCGTCCAGGCACGTGTGTTTTTCACACCTGCAGTTAGAGGCCTTTTCATTTTTCAGGTTTTAAATTCTAATGTAAAGTTGTAAAGCCAGTGTGTAAACGGTGAAAAAAAAAAGTGGTATGATTTCCTTTTCTTTTTTAAAAAAAATATATTTTTATTGATTTTTTTTACAGAGAGGAAGGGAGAGCGAGAGTTAGAAACATCGATGAGAGAGAATCCTCGACCAGCTGCCTCCTGCACACCTCCTACTGGGGATGTGCCCGCAACCAAGGAACATGCCCTTGACCGGAATCGAACCCGGGGCCCTTCAGTCTGCCGGCCGACGCTCTACCCACTGAGGCAAACCAGTTTCGGCTATACTTTCCTTTTTAAAAAATATATATTTTTATTGACTACAGAGAGGAAAGAAGAGGGAGAGAGAGCCAGAAACATCAATGATGAGCGCGAATCATTTATTGGCTGCCTCTTGCACGCCCCCCCACTGGGGATCAAGCTTACAACCCAGGCATATGCCCTTGACCAGAATCGAACCCAGGACCCTTCAGTCCGCAGGCTGATGCTCTATCCATTGAGCCAAACCAGTTAGGGCAGTGGTCAGCAAACTCATTAGTCAACAGAGCCAAATCTCAACAGCACAACAATTGAAATTTCTTTTGAGAGCCCAATTTTTTTTAAACTTCTTCTAACGCCACTTCTTCAAAATAGACTGGCCCAGGCCGTGGTATTTTGTGGAAGAGCCACACTCAAGAGGCCAAAGAGCCACATGTGGCTCGTGAGCTGCAGTTTGCCGACCATGGAGTTAGGGCATATATTTTTTTCTTTAAAATCAGGATATTTTAGCTGAAACCTGTGTCTCAGTGGAGAGAGCACCGGTCTGCGGACTGAAAAGTCCCAGGTTCAATTCCGGTCAGGGGCATGTACCTTGGTTGCCGGCACATCCCCAGTAGGGGGTGTGCAGGAGGCAGCTGATAGATTATTCTCTCTCAGTGATGTTTCTGACTCTCTTCCTGTCTGTAAAAAATTTAATAAAAAATATATATTTTTTAAATCAGAATATTTTAGGAAGGACACATAAACGTGTAGTTTATTAGTAGTTTGTCCTATTCCAGAACTAGAGACATTGGCCAGAGAAAGAATACGTTTTGGCTGAGTTTAAGGAGGGAGAGTTCAACTCCCCTGTGAACTAGTTTTAAATCAAAATGATACAAAACATTTCTGGGTCCAGTTCTTTCATCTGTTTTTTGTTTGTTTTTTAAATATATTTTATTGATTTTTTATAGAGAGGAAGGGAGAGAGACAGAGAGCCAGAAACATCGATGAGAGAGAAACATCCACCAGCTGCCTCCTGCACACCCCCCATTGGGGATGTGCCTGCAACCAAGGTCCATGCCCTTGACCGGACTCGAACCCGGGGCCCTTCAGTCTGCAGACCGATGCTCTACCCACTGAGCCAAACTGGTTTCGGCCTTTCATTTGTTTGATAGGATGATTGGACAAAGTTAAAAAGCTTTCAAATTATTGCCTGGAGCGCATAAGGTGGGCAAGGGAGAGGCCAGCAGCCCAGGTTTCTGAGAAGCTGTGTTTACATTTGTCTTAAATGGGGTTTCAGGGGAAATTGCAGTGTGTGTGTGTGTGGGGGGGGGGGGGGGCGGTGGTTGTGGGGAGCGGAGGGGGCAGGAATTATGAGTGGGGAGGGAAAGTTTAAAAACCATTGATCTGAATTATCTTAAAGGCCTTTTTTCACCTCTAAAGCACTGCATTCCATTTTTTAAAAATTTTTATTGATTTTTTTACAGAGAGGAAGAGAGAGGGATATAGACTTAGAAACATCGATGAGAGGGAGACATCGATCAGCTGCCTCCTGCACACCCCCGACTGGTGCCCCCAACCAAGGTACATGCCCTTGACCGGAATCGAACCTGGGACCTTTCAGTCTGCAGGCCGACGCTCTATCCACTGAGCCAATCCGGTTTCTACTGCATTCTAAATTTTTTTTTATAATGTATTTTATTGATTTTTTTTTTACAGAGAGGAAGGGAGAGGATAGAGAGCTAGAAACATCGACCAGCTGCCTCCTGCACACCCCCCACCAGGGATGTGCCCGCAACCAAGGTACATGCCCTTGATCCGGAATTGAACCTGGGACCTTTCAGTCCACAGGCTGACGCTCTATCCACTGAGCCAAACCAGTCTCGGCTGCTCAGGATTCTTCAGGCCAATCCTGGTCAGCGTAAACATTTTTTTATCCCCTCTGAATTTGTTTTCTGTATTATTGGAGGCATATTTATCATGTTTATGTTCCCCTTAAGTCTGATTAATTGAATCCTTCATTTCTGCATCAAACAATTAAAAAGGCTACTGCGTGCCAGGCAAATGCAAACTTTTTTTTTTTTTTTTAATATATTTTTTATTGATTTTTTACAGAGAGGAGAGAGGGATAGAGAGCTAGAAACGTCGATGAGAGAGAAACATCGACCAGCTGCCTCTTGCACAACCCCTACTGGGGATGTGCCCGCAACCAAGGTACATGCCCTTGACCAGAATCGAACCCGGGACCTTTCAGCCGGCAGACCGACGCTCTACCACTGAGCCAAACCGGTTTCGGCAAATGCAAACTCTTTTACAAAATGCTCTGACTCCCCAGAGAAGAGCCCCTCACGGATAAAGTCCGGCTGCTTTCGTTGCAGATGTGACGGCTGAAGCTGTCAGCGTGGCCATCGCAGCGCCTCCCTCGGAGGGAGAGGCCAACGCCGAGCTCTGCCGCTACCTTTCCAAGGTCCTGGGGCTCAGGAAGAGCGATGTGGTTTTAGATAAGGTACGTATCTCTCTTATATATACGTATTTAAAACACTCACCTGAGGAGCCCTAACCAGTGTGGCTCAGTGGATAGAGCGTCGGCCTGCGGACTGAAAGGTCCCGGGTTCGATTCCGGGTCAAGGGCATGTACCTTGGTTGCGGGCACATCCCCTGTGGGGGCTGTGCAGGAGGCAGCTGATTGATGATTCTCTCTCATCGATGTTTCTAACTCTCTATCCCTCTCTCTTCCTCTCTGTAAAAAGAAATCAATAAGATATATTAAAAAAACAAAGAACACAAACGCCCCCCCAAGGATATGTCCGCAATGCATACAACTGAGGTCCGTTTCTAACAGTGTTAGAAAGTTTATCATGTTATCCTGACACTGCCTTTTCCTTTCACTCCAGGGCGGTAAATCCCGGGAAAAAGTGGTAAAGCTTTTGGCCGCCACAACTCCACAAGAGGTCTTGGAGAAATTGGAAAAGGAAGTTGAAAAAAAATAAAAGTAAGGAAAAAAAAAATACATCCTGGAGAAACTTTTTTTTTTTATTGCTAATGATGAAGAGGCTGCTAACCAGGAAAATGCAGTTCAATGCACAGAAATAAATGTATTTAAAAAAGAACAGGTCTCCAAAAAGGAGTTGAAAATTTAAAGGTACTACACATTGAATACTGCTTGGAACATATTGCTCTGGTTTCGTGGCAGGGCAGAATACTAGCAACAGGCTGTTCAAGATGACCTGACTCAGCCGAAACCAGTTTGGCTCAGTGGATAGAGCGTCGGTCTGCGGATTCAAGGGTCTCAGGTTCGATTCCGGTCAAGGTCATGTACCTTGGTTGTGGGCACATCCCCAGTGGAGGGTGCAGGAGGCAGCTGATCAATGTTTCTCTCTCATCAATGTTTCTGACTCTCTCTTCCTCTCTCTTCCTCTCTGTGAAAAATCAATAAAATATATTTAAAAAACAAAATAAAAAAGATGACCTGCCTCAGCCCCTTTCATTTTGTGATGGTGTTTCTGGTACCCAGGAGCTGAGAGACACACAGGATCACACTGTCCAGAATGACAACTAGGACCCAGGTCCCTTGACTCCCACTTGAATACACTTTTGTTCTGATTGTAAATTAAAGTGATAATATTTCCGCAACGCTTCTGGAATGCTAGGGATTGCTTCTAATCCAGTTTACAAGTGACAGGAAAACTTGCCAATATATTTTGTACTCTCTATATCATAAAATGCTTATCTTTATGCAGAAATGTTTTCTGCATCTTTTTGAAACTCTTGAGCATTTTATGAAAAAGTGAGAAAGAATAATCAAGACTTGTACAGGCATATCTTTAAAAAAAAATATTTTATTTTTTTTTACAGAGAGGAAGATAGTTAGAATCATTGATGAGAGAACATTGATCAGCTGCCTCCTGCACACTTCCTACTGGGGATGTGCCCGAAACCAAAGTACATGCCTTGACCGGAATCGAACCTGGGACTCTTCAGTTCGCAGGCCGACGCTCTATCCCCTGAGCCAAACTGGTTAGGGCCAGGCATACCTTGTTTTATTGCACCTCACAGAGACAGGTTTTTGGTGTTTTTGTTTTTTTTTTCAAATTGCAGGCTATGGCCACCCCGTGATGAGCAAGTCTGTCTGTACCATTCTTCCAATAGCATTTGTCACCTTGTGTCTTTGTGACACATTTTGGCAATTCTCTCAATATTTCAAACTTTTTCATTTTGTTATGTTTGTTATGGTGATCTGTGAACGGTGATCTTTGATACTATTGTAATTGTTTTGTGGCACCACAAACCACACTCATACAAGATGGTGAACTTAGCCGAAACCGGTGTGGCTCAGTGGATAGAGCGTCGGCCTGCATACTGAAAGGTCCCGGGTTCGATTCCGGTCAGGGGCATGTACATTGGTTGCGGGCACATCCTCAGTAGGGGGTGTGCAAGAGGCAGCTGATGGATGTCTCTCATCAATGTTTCTATCTTTCTTCCTCTCTGTAAAAAAAAAAAATCAATAAAAGATATTAAAAAAAAAAAAAAGATGGTGAACTTGATTGATAAATGTCTGTGTTCTGACTACTTACCAGCTGCTCCCCTCTCTCTCTCTCTCTCCTTCCCTTTCCTAAGGCCTCCCTATTCCGAGACACAACAGTGAAATTAGGCCAGTTTATAACCTGACAATGGCCTTGACGTGTTCAAGCGAAAGGAAGAGCCGCACGTCTCTCACTTTAAATCAAAAGCTAGAAATGATCAAACTGAGCGAGGAAGGCATGTCCAAAGCTGAGATCGGCCGAAAGCTGGGCCTCTTGCGACAGACGGTTAGCCAGGTTGTGAATGCCAAGGAAAAGTTCTTGAAGGAGATGCAAAGCGCCACTCCCATGAACACGCGGGTGATAAGAAAGCAAAACAGCCTGATTGCTGACATGGAGAAAGTGCTGGTGGTCTGGATAAGAGATCAGACCAGCCACAACATTCCCCTAAGCCAGAGCCTCATCCAGGCCAAAGCCTTGATGCTTTTCAATTCCATAAAGGCCGAGCGAGGTGAGGAAGCGGCAGAGGAAAAGTTCGAGGCCAGCAGAGGCTGGTTCATGAGGTTTAAGGAGCGATGCCGTCTCTGTAACGTAAAAGTGCGAGTCGAGGCAGCAGGCGCCGACACAGAAGCCGCAGCAAGTTACCCGGACGATCTAGCCAAAATAATTCACGAGGGTGGCTACACCGCACAACAGATTTTCAGTGTCGACGAAACAGCCTTGTATTGGAAGAAGATGCCCTCTAGAACCTTCCTAGCCAGAGAGGAGAAGGCAATGCCTGGCTTCCAGCCCTCCAAGGACAGGCTGACTCTCTTGCTAGGGGCTAATGCAGCTGGCGACTTGAAGTTGAAGCCCATGCTCGTTTATTACTCCGAAAGCCCCGCCGCCCTCAAGAATTACGCCAAAGCGACCCTGCCTGTGCTCTACAGGTGGCACCCCAGAGCCCGGATGACGGCACATCTGTTCACCTCCTGGTTCACCGAATATTTCAAGCCCGCCGTCGAGACCTACTGCTCGGAAAAGAGGATCCCTTTCAAAATATTGCTGCTCGTGGACAACACCCCCGTTCACCCAGGAGCCCTGAAGGAGCTGTACAGTGAGATCGATGTTGTTTTCATACCTGCTGACACGGCGTCCACCCTGCAGCCCCTGGGCCAAGGGGTAACGTCAACCTTCAAGTCCTATTACTTAAGAAATATATTCCGCAGGGCTGTCGCTGCCGCAGGTAGCGGCGGCTCCAACGGATCCGGCCGGCAGAGTAAACTGAAAACCTTCTGGAAAGGATTCAGCATCCTGGATGCCATCAAGAACATCCGCGATTCGTGGGATGAGGTCAAAGCCTCCACCGTCACGGGAGTCTGGAAGACGTTGATCCCAACCCTCGCGGGTGAGATTGGGGGGTCCAGGGCTTCGTCGGAGGAAGTGACCGCAGAGGCGGCGGAACTAGCGCGAGAACTGGGATTGGAAGTGGGGCCCGAGGATGCGGCCGAATGGCTGCAGTCCCACGCTCGGTCTCTGACGGACGAGGAGCTGCTGCTGATGGATGAGCAGAGAAAGCGGTTTCTGGAGATGGAGGCCGCTCCCGGCGAAGAGGACGCGGCGATCGTGGACATGACAACAAGGGACTTAGAATACTACGTCAACCTGGTGGACGAGGCAGCCGCAGGGTTTGAGAGGATCGACCCCAACTTTGAAAGAAGTTACACCGCGGGCAGGATGCTCTCAAACAGCGTCGCCTGCTACAGAAAAATCCTCCACGGGAGGAAGAGTCAGTCGGTGAGGCAGAGTTCATTGCTGTCTTATTTTAAGAAATTCCCCCAGCCGCCCCAGCCTTCAGCCACCACCCCCCTGATCAGTGAGCAGCTGTTAACACCGAAGCAAGAATCTCCACCAGCAAAAAGATTACGGCTCCCTGAAGACTCCGATGATGGTTAGCGTTTGTTTTTTTTTGTGTGTTTTTTTTTTTAGCAATAACGGACTTTTTAATTACGGCGTGCACATTGTTTTGCCTACATTGATAGAACCTGAGAAAGCAAAACCTGGACTCCCTAGTTCTGTGAGCCTTTCCTCCTTTGCCAGCAAGGAATCAGAGAACCAGAGCGTGTAAGTGACACCTTTGTGTTGCTCCAAATTCCAAAGTTAAAAACAACTTCAGAGGCAGTTCTTTTCTGGCCTGTGAACAGTGATCTTTGTGAACGGTGACCCTCTTACAAATTCAGGAATTTGGTTCCTTTAACTGTAGTGCAGAATATGCATTTTGCAACCTACCCTCGCTCCCACTTCATATATGTATATTTTTAATTGATTTCCAAGAGGAAGGGAGAGAGAGAAACATCAGTGAGAGAGGCTCATGGATCTGCTGCCTCCTGCATGCTCCCCGCTAGGCACCGTGCCCACAACTAGGGAATGTGCTCTTGACTGGAATCAAGCCTCGGACCCTTCAGTGTGCACGCCAGCACTCTATCCGCTGAACCAAACCAGCTGGGACCAGATTATTATTATTTTTTATTTTTATTTTTTAATATATTTTATTGATTTTTTTTTTTTTACAGAGAAGAAGGGAGAGGGATAGAGAGCTAGAAACATCGATGAGAGAGAAACATCGACCAGCTGCCTCCTGCACACCTCCCACTGGGGATGTGCCCGCAACCAAGGTACATGCCCTTGACCGGAATCGAACCTGGGACCTTTCAGTCCGCAGGCCGACGCTCTATCCACTGAGCCAAAAGAGTTTCGGCAGGACCAGATTATTTTTTTTTTAAACGTGCCTAGAGACTAAAAAGAAATGTACGAACCTAGATTTTCAATTTACATCCAAGAGGTGGCACCATAATGCAGAAGCAGCCACATAATTTGAAGGAACTGAACTGCACTATCGGGAAATCCCTTCTGCAGAGCCTGATATCAGTAATCCTTTTAATCTCATCCTCTCAGAGGTACGCCTGAGGCTTAGTCCCAGGCCAGAGTGTGGTGGTAACCCAGGCCA